AAGTTACTTAAGGCAGCCTCCACATACCTCCATGTTGGGTTTGTGATGTTATAATATTATATGCATATATTTCTAATATTATATGTATGTATATATAATATGTATGCAGTATATTTATAATATTACATATGTTTATTTGTTCAAGTTTATGTGGGGGTACTTATCGCCTTGAGGAGAAAATATGGTCCTCTTGGGACCGTCTAGTTGACCGTTGTTTGTCCCAGGTCGGGGGCAGGATGCCACCGGTTGCCAGTTACTTGATTTATACACTGATTATTTGCCTGTAATATCTTAAGGGAATTCCTGCTATCTTCCGGCTTGCAATGTTATTCACTTACTCTATTACTAGTTCCTAGATCCACTTTCCCGTATTACAGTATATATTGCCAGTATACTATCACTGAGGGAGTATACTGTTACTGCGGGACGTCCCCTACACTGTGTAGGCCTCGCGGCTGTGGTGTAAGCAGCCTAGTGTGATGCCTCCTCCACAACTTTACATTTATACTTTTTCTATGTACAATTCTCTAACACTATCCACTAATTTATATGTTGCGTTACATGTTTCACTTCACTGTTCAATGTATCACTGCTCGCTATATTTGATATATATCGCTTATGCCTGTACACATGAGCCTGGTGGCACTGGCTCACCACGTGGTCCCACGTTTATTCTGTACTTAACTCAAAGTTCCATTGTTAATTTCTGTATTCAACTTTCCTACGGGTTACTATGCACTTGGTGATCACTGTGGGCCGTAATCCATGGTTGTAATCCTAAAAAAGCCCAGTTTGTTCCAGTGTTTTAACTGAGCGCGACGACGACACGTCTGTCCCCTCCCCTGCGGTGGCCACTCCTCGTTGCTTTTTGACTCACTATACCAACTTAGTGGTTCGTTATGGTGAACAAAACATCCAGTTACTTATATATAACGTGTGTATATAGTGTAATTATCGCAAAAGTATTTGTTTATTGTTTTATGAACATAATAGTTGAATCACCAATAAGCACACAATAATTTTAAGTATAACGATGATTTACACATTTTATTATATAAATATATTGTACTAAACACTATTGAATAATATTACTACAAAAAACTAAGAAAAAATCAGACACTGAAATAATTAGGTAATAATATCTTTGTGGCAACTCTAGCCTGACAGCTGGGGCGGAGCAGACCTCCTCTGGCACTTGCTCTGTCAATGCCTTTTTTTTTATTTTTATTTTGTGCCTGTGGGTGTTGAAGGCCATATAGCCCAGAGCAGTTTAGGGGTTAAGGCACACATTACCCATCAGTTCAAAAAGCTTACAGGGAAAAATTGGAGCAATGGCATGAACAAACGGTGGTGAAGTGGTACATTCCTAGATTATTAACCCTTAAACCGGGCAATACATACATAAATGATTTGACCAAAAATTATTTAACATAAGTTTTTCAAACTTGCACAAACACTTTCCAATTTTTTTGCATAATCAACTAGGCAAATGCTCTAACGTTGTCTAAATGATCACAGCATAACTTGAAAAACAAGTTAGGTCTCCTTGGTCACTGGGGAATATATATTCCCTCATTCCCCTTGGTCACTGGGGAATCCCTTCTCATCCCAATCCCAATCCTACACCCAACCCCTCATAGTTCCTTCCCCCCCTGGTCAGGCACCCCCTTACACTCCCAGTATTCCGTCCTATAGACCGGGACTTGTGGCATTACTCCCGAAGTTGTCCTTGCCAAGGTTAAATTGTGCTGAGCTCCCATCGAGTAAAGTGGAACGCAACCGTTGCGTGGAAAATTGGTTGTGGGAGATGGATTCTGTGTTAGCCGCGGCTCCTGATGATGAAACTAAAATTAATCTGGCCACTGGGGCATGTGTGGGTCGTGACGGGCCCCTGAGGAAGTCTGAGGAATTCAGGCATTTGGTGACGTGGCCACAATTCGTGCAATCCATCAAGGACCGATTTAAGGCAAAGATTACTAAAGAGGAGGCTCGTCGCTACTTAACGTCACTTCAGAGGGATAAAAGCACTCAATTTAAAGATTTTGGTTCCTTAGGACCAGGATAGGCGATCTTACTCAGGAGTTGGGTTACGATGCGCAGCAGGAGGAACGGTTTGCAAAGCAGTTATTTTGTAAGGCCTTGCCCGCCCATATCAGTCCATACCTCGCTATGGACACGGCTTCCCTGAGTTTTTGGGAACTCGTACAGTACGCCGAAGATCATATAGATGAGGACTTGGATGCGGAGGAGGCCCGGTCGTCACCATATGTTAATGCGGTGAGCAGGAAGGTAGAGAACGGGCAAGGGGGCAATAGGTCAGGGCCCTCCCAGACGAAAGCGGGAGGCGGTGGACGCACGCAACAACCCCCACGTAATGACTGGTGGGACTCGCGTACTTGTTTTAATTGTGGGAAAAAAGGCCACGTAAAAGCGAAATGCCGGAAGGTGACAACAGGAAAATGAGAGAACCCCGCCTCGGGTGGTGGCAGACCTACGTTTGAGATGACAGTGGAAGGTGTGAGATTGACAGTTTTTGTGGACACCGGAAGTCAAGCAACGCTCATTAAAAAGTCAGCCTTCAGCACACTTAAAGAGACATGCCTTAAGCGTTGTGGGAATCATTTAATAGCAGTGAATGGTCAACATATTAATATCTTGGGCCAGGCCACTCTTAATTTTGAAGTGGGTAAGGGAGAAGCTTACCCACACAATTGCACGATTGTCGAGAATCTTGCATTCCCTGGTCAGATTTTGTTGGGAATGGATTTTCTGGGACGAGTTAACTTTTCTTTGTCTGCTCAAGAGGGAGCAAGGAAGTGCAGATTGAAGTTGGGCCAGGTAGTTTATCCCATTAAAATGGTAGATCATCCACCAGTAATTGCTTCCATTAGTAAGAAACAGAAGTACAACTGTCACTACCCTAAGTTGTTGTTTAAGTCTCTTCCAGACACATAAGAAATCATGTGGGTTACATGCCTTGTTGAAACAATGTTGCCCACCCCATTCAGTTAAGTTCATTAAAGTATCAGTGGGACGTCACATTGCACCAAGTACCACCCTTCAAGTGGCTGGAAGATGTGACAGGTTGTTGATCCCTCAACATTTGATCACAGTGCTTGATAAAGGTGCCCTTATTCCTGTTGTCAATCTCTCGCACAAAACCTATCGTTTTAGGGCAGGTGATAGGGTGTCTCAGGCTACAATTGTGGAAAATACAGGAATTTTTCAGTATCAAAGCCAGGAGGAGATGCCAGCCACCACAGCACAATGTAGTGCGCTTAATGTTACAGAAAGTAGTACACAGGTTAAACACAAGACTGAGACAGGAAAAAGTAGTTATACTCAGGAAGTTGATAAGTTAATCTCGGCTCTGGATTTGCAACATGTGCAACAGTCAGATAGGAAACTTTTGAGAGGGATTTTACATAAATTTCCTAGACTGTTTGCAACAGAAGATGATCAAATCGGGCTTCTGGATAGAATCGAACATGTTATTCCGACAGGTGATCATCCTCCATGTACACCCGTCAATGGAGGCTCCCGGAACGGGCGAAGGAAGTAATTAGGGATGAGTGTCAGAAGATGTTGAGACAGGATGTGATAGAGCCTAGTACATCACCATGGTTGTCACCAGTGGTGTTGGTACGTAAACCGGATGGTAGTTATAGGTTTTGTGTTGACTACCGAAAGATCAACGAAATTACTAAAGGTGATGTGTATCCTTTGCCACGGATACAAGAAATAATAGATCAGTTTGGGGCAGCAAAATACTTTTCCACTCTGGATGCGAAATCTGCATATTGGGCCATCCCAGTTGCTGAGAAGGATAGAGAGAAGACTGCCTTCTCTGATGGGGTTCATACTTATCAATTCAAGCGGATGCCTTTCGGGTTAAAGACAGCGCCTTCATCATTTCAGAGGGCTATCAATTACATATTAAACCCGGTCTTGGGAAGGTACTCATTAACGTACCTGGATGATGTGGTTATCTACTCCAGGACGTTTCATGAGTACTTACAAGATTTGACCGAGACGTTGACACTGTTAGATAAGGCGGGTTTCAAACTCAATGTGGGGAAATGCACTCTGGCATCGCAGAAATTCAAGTTTCTGGGATTCCAGGTGTGCACAGATGGTATCCGACCTGACCCCGACTCCTGTTGTGCCATTGCTGACATGCCTACACCTAAGACAGCAAAGGATGTTCGAAGGTTTCTGGGGGCAGCCGGATATTTCCGTCGCCACATTCAGGGTTTTGCAAGTACAACAGCACCGTTAACTGAGCTTACTAAGAAAAATGTTAAATTCGTTTGGAAACCTGAGCATGATAACGCTTATGCAAAATTAAAAAGTAAACTCATTACCACCCATCTTGGCAGTACCTGATTTTGATAAGGAGTGGGAAGTACACACTGACGCCAGTGGCATAGCTATTGGTGGGTGCTTAATGCAACGTGATAATGACAATCTTCCTCACCCAGTAGCATATTTCAGCAGGAAGGTTAAGGGTCTGGAGGTCCGCTATTCTGCAATGGATAGGGAAGCTTTGGCTGTGGTAGAAAGTGTCAGGTACTTTGAACCGTATCTTTTCCAACGATACTTTGTCATTTATACAGATCACAGGGCTTTGACTCGTATTTTTAAGAAAAGAACTAAGTGTTGAACCGTATCTTTTCCAACGATACTTTGTCATTTATACAGATCACAGGGCTTTGACTCGTATTTTTAAGAAAAGAACTAAGTGCCCTCGCATGTCACGGTCTCATGAACTAGCTGCCCACTCATTCCAAATACTTTACAAGCCTGGTCCATCATATGTTGTGCCAGACACCTTGAGTAGAAACATTGCTACTATTAAGGTAAATCTTAATATTGAAAATATTTCCAGCGAAAAAATGCGAGAATTCCAGATGAACGAACCAAGGTGGAAGGAAATTGTTGAACATTTGGAGGGAGGAAAATATCCGTCGAAGAAACGTAATTTAGCAATTCATGATTTTGAAATGAAGGATGGGGTCTTATTTTATGTAAAGGGACAGAAGGATCGTGCAGTTTTTCAGCTGGTTATAATAAATTACAATAAATTTGTAAAAATTCCATTTATTGCCTGAATAATATGGGACTCGCCGACGACGTTTTCATTTGTCTGCATACCCCATATGGCCTCCCGACCCCGCCGTGTGGGTGTCCACCCATACAGGAGGCTTATTGTTCTCGTGACCTCGTTCGTGACCGCTGCGGCCTCCCCCTCGAGTTGAAAAGTTCCCCATTCTGGTTATTGTATCTTTGGTATTTGTTGTTACCGGCTTTATAAACCCTTCCAATTGACTTCAAGATGGATATTGTTCAAGCACAGAGCCAATCCATGACAAAAGCATTGAAAGAAACACGTATGATGGAAAAGTTATCAAGTGGTTTGTGAAAAGTATAAAAGAGTGAGACTTGTATGTCCTTGTATGCAAATATCCCTTTACACTATTCTACTGCGAACATTTGATACCAAACTTAACGACGTAGCACGAAAATTGAGGAGAAAAAGCTGAAAAAGAGTATAAACATTGGAGTGTGGTGGTGAGCTCAAGAGCAACACTTGGCCTACCGTGCGGTGTGCTAGTCACCTGCTAGAAAGTGTTAGACTTTATAACCAACAATGGAATGTATGCAGACTTGCTCAGGAATACCATCCTAGTCATTGTGTAGACATTATTTATATACTATGTAATTTAGAGCAGATTCCATAATTAATTGAGCCAGTAAATTACCAGCATTGTATTACTTAGTAGTATCTAGGTAAAATGGCTGTGAGTTGAGGGATATGTTTAGAGGAGTCACTTGGCCTACGGTCCAAAGTGTTGGTACTATAGCAGTCCACCTGTGAACGAGAGCACTGGCTTTGCCAGTTGATCACTGGAGCCCTGTGGTGATGGTTCTCTCCCTCCCTTGAGTGCAGCAGCTCATTTAGTTTAAGATAAGTATGGTTTATTAGGAAACAGTGTTTAGTTTAGGTGTTGTCATTTGTAATTACTGGTGGAGTGTTAGTTAGCCATTTATTTGATTTACTTGTGTGTTTACCTGACTTTGGTCATAATTACTTGACTGGTCCCATTTCTTTAAGCTTAGCTTTGTTTGACGGAGGAGTGTGTTTGTATGTTGCACCTCTAATTACACCCTGGAGAAAATTTGAATTAGCATCTCATTCCCCTCCAGTCATTTACCTTTGGCGGGAGATTTTGAGGGCATTTCATGGGACACTGAGCTCAGGAAGCTGATGTGAACGTGTGTTGCTATAGGACCTTTAAATCTTATGCGGTACTTTAAAACACACACACATATATATATGATGTGTATATATATGATGTATATATATGATGTCTTCAGACAGACCAAAATCATAATAAGATAAATAGATTTAAGATAACTGGTAAGGCATCTAAAATAGACATACGGTGTATTTTTTCAGCTTCATAAAAATTGTGTACAATCAAAGCAGAATTATTTTGATTACCAACCTCTAAAACCAGTATACATTTTAATCATGTTTCATTCTTTCTGAGAGAATAGAAACACACAAGGTAAAAAGTGAAGTAAAATAAGCAATACAATAATGCAAGAGCATTGAAACTTCAATAGAGAACATTTGTGCATGATCTAAATTCTGTTACACTCTGCACTGGTCACTTGCCAAATAAAACTATCTTAAACAGTTAACCTCAAACTGCTCACAATAATGTATTTCATTAACAGCCTATGCCAAAACAATTTGTAACCCATATATCCAGGCCCACCCACCCTTATGTAACTAGGGAAACGGGTGTAATAATAATGCCTGTATTTTCAAGAACCTAGGATGCAAGAATGCATCCAAGCACAATAGCTCAGATTGACTTTATGAAGTGAAGTCCAATCTTTACCCTTTTAAGTCCACCTGAACAACATGGTGCAGGTTACTAATTTAAGGCCTGTTTTTATTCCTGAATTATTTGTATTCTGGAAGCTTATGTAGTCACATTCATCGAAGAGTCACCTGATCAACCAGGCTGTGAGCAGCTGCGTCCAACAGCCTGGTTGACCAGTCCAGCAACCAGGAGACCTGGTCGACGACCGGGCCACGAGGTCGCTAAGCCCCGAAGGTAACCTCAAGGTAGCCATTAGGCAGGCAGCCTTCATACAAGTTTCTAACACTTCATGTATATGTGACCATTAAGGTTTTGCACAGACATCATAACTTCTTCCTCATTTCACTTTACTCGTATCTTCGGCATTTCCTTATTAAGCACAGATCCCAATGATTTCACTTGAGAATACCATTTTAACAATACCTGTATGATGCACACTATAACTAATGTATAGCTGTAAGAGTATTCTTCTGTAGTTAGTCACTCTTGAGCATCAAGAATTCCTTTAACTAGAGACTGCAGCTTTACTACGTCATCAAGCGTATTCCGGAGGGCTGTTACACCATGTGTCAGACTACTAATGCAGCTGTCCTGTAATGATAAATATCCTACATTAAGAGATCATTCATAATTACTGTAAAAGTATCTTCACACAATAAACTATATCAAGTAAAACAAATATCAATAATGAATAACTGGAAGTTATTAGACAGGATCAATACTGAATAAAAATAAACACTGCACTATAATTCAGTAATAAAGTGAAGACAATATGTAATGACCTCGAGTTGAAACAACCAAGAGATAAGTGATAAATTAATTTAATTAAAAAATGATACCACAAAACCTTAAGGATAAATCCCTGCCCAAGATTTTGTAAGCACTCGCCAACTTTTCTGATTTCTAACCACAAATTATTGCCATCTGAGCCTTAGCATCCAATTCTCTCACCGTTACTGTGTCACTACACAGGTTCAGATTGCTCATATTGCTGCCCATTGCCAGAGCGTGACAAACAGTAAATCTTTTATCCATGCATTTCTTCAGTTCGCTAGTGTTGCTTGGCATCGATTTTTCCCATTGTCTGATTAACACCTTGGCAGTCCAGTCTCTCCAAGTGTTCCCGACCGAAAACATTCTGGGCTTCCCAAGCGGCTCATGGGCTGCTCAGGGATGTGAAATTTATTTACACTCATTTTATATTTTCTAAGTTATTTGTTGAGTTATAACAATAAATTTGATGTCAAAATGTTCACAAATGCATTGTCTAGAGAGTACTGTAGATGCAAAACAAAAAAAGTGTATTTATAATAGATTTTGGTCCTCTTCACATATTCAACATAAATTTGGGGCACCCAGTGGATCCCTCATGGTGATGCGAAACATTTTTACACTCATTTTATGTTTTCTCAATTATCTGTTGAGTTATAACTATAAACATGATGTCAAAATGTTTGCAAATGAATTCTGAAGAGTACAGAAGTGAGAACAATGTTGTATTTTCACTAGATTATATGCAACAGCGATGACTACACAAATATTTATGAAAGCAATCAGATGACACATTCTTACATTTACTTACTGTTGGAGTGCCAATGATGCTACAATGAATCACTACAATGCAAAAGTGTTAAGAGTTCTTGGATACTCTTGCTACAAACAGCTAGCTGAACTTGCATTGTGGCTACCTCCATAGTTGCAGGAATGGAGGACTATTTTTTCACCAAGTTTAATTTTCTTTCTGCACATATTAGAGGAACAAGGCTTTCTGCAGAAATGACATCATAGATCATTCTGACAGCTCCAGAATTTTTGTCCCCATCTGAAACATTTCAAGCATATTATGGCTCTTACACATACTTTGCCACATACTCCATACTCATAACCTGCCCCAAAGATGAACACTTTTTTCGAAATATCTCCTCTCACTAAAGCCACTACCTGATTCTATGCTTCATCTTTAATAAGATGATGCTTGGCCCAAGCAAATAGCTTGTCCTCAAGCTATTTGAGGAAGATTTATATTTAATTACCTTCATCAGTTTCTCATTTTTCTCTGGTAGTTTCATAACAATTTCATGATATACTTCCTGGGACAGAAACACAACAGCCTCCATTGATCCTACCATTAAGTAAAATCTGTTCAAATCTTCCTTCAATAGTTGCACGAACTTATGATGCTCTCTTCCCAGGTTCACTGTCCATAGATGTTTCTGGTAATAGCTCAGTGCAAATGAACTAGGGAAGACAAGTCTCCACCTCTGTTGTCCATCAAGTTCTTGTGCGAGTTCCCGAGTTTGTTCCTGCCCAGCATCAACAACAGTTCGTCCCTTCTTTACTGCCTCAGGGTTATTCGTCAATCTCTTATCATTTGTATTAGTTCCACTATTAATGCTCCACATATTGCCTCTTTTCCCTCATTGCCTAACACGTTTTGAAACTCCCTCTCTCCTAATGTGCTGTTTTCTGAGGCTGTCTCATTTATAAAACTTGTTGGAGAATAGCCAATGTTTCCGTTACAAGATCTTCCACACCATTACGTACCTTATTACCTTGCAAGATGCATAAATGAGAATGCATGGCTAAGGCGCTTCCAAGTTGCGGTAAGTAAAGTATGGAATTTCCTGGGCACAAGAAACACTGTACTACTATATAATGCTTCAATTTTTTTTTCTTAGCACTGTTCTCCCCACCCCTGAAAAATAGTAATGGCAATGGTGATCAAATGCTAAGAAATTCACAAAACAAGTGAAATGCCTAAAAAAATATAAGATCTTCCTCACCGATCGCTCGAGAATAGAATGTTGTGCACGATCTTCAAGAAGACGGATGTGTGAAGGAACATTATTCAACAGGTCAACAAGCTGTCCAATCAGACTGATAAGGTCTCTGTGGGTGTAAAGATCTTGGTTAAAAACAAACAAATTTTTCACATTAATAAGCCACTTCCCATTACATGTACTTAAAAGTACTATACTATATCTCTGTAAATTCAGAACTTAGTAACTTTGCACAAAATATATATGCAGAAATATTAAGTGAATAACAAGCAGATACTATATTGTAACCTAATATAGTATCACCCGACATCCAATTTGCCTAATATGTAGTCAATTTCGAGTCTACAAATTTTGGCTTTAACCATGGTAGTCAAAGGTAAATGGGTTTCTGCACAAGGAATATATGATTATCAAACACTTTTTGGGCTGAACACATTTTGTTAAGTGATGTTAAGTACATCACATTTAAATTTTTGGTCATCTATTTTGTTTGATAATGCTTTTAGGATCATTTGTAATATTTTATCCAATTGTTTTACAAATGTTCTGTAAATTTGATCTTTTGAGATGGTAAGTCTACAGATTGTGGCCTGTAACATTCTTCCCAAATCTGTGTGCCTTACTTGGCCATAAAATAGTTTGGTGAACCCAGTGTCTAAATTGGGACCAAATGTGTACAATGTAAACAGATTTACTCAAGCAGGGTTAGCTGAACCGAGGTTGAACTCTGTGTTTACTCAATGTTTTGAGTATGTTTTAATCAATCTACTAAACAAGAGAAAAATGGTGGCATGTTAGACACCTAATCAATCAACCAAATACTATTGTAATATCAAAGCTAATGCTCTCTAGCCTTGCCTAATCTACTAGGCAAGATTAGGTAAGGTTAAGCAGATTGTGGGTGGCTGACATCACCAAACTTATTTCTCCCTTATTTTCTGTTCCTGAACAGCATGCCTGGTAGAATGTTCAGGTAGACTTGCATGTATACTGTATTAAGGATGAATTCAACCCAAACAAAAATAGCTTGCCAAGCACAATACATAAAATAATAATTATTGCATTACAGTATAATTAATAACCAGCAAACTTACTTGTGGTAATGGTAATGCATAGTAAGAAAGTTGAACACCAGAGGCTGTTGTAAGCGGTAGGTAATCAAGTCTTTATTTTCTATGATGGAGCGAATGTGTTGTTCAGCTTGCTGGAACCAAGCCAAGCGCCTACCTGTGATACACATGCAAGACTTGTATACAATTCATAACCAATTCATTTTGTACATAATTTTGACACTTTTGCACATTTCAATTGGTGCATACATTTATATAACAAGTGATATTTATGTAGGCCAGTGTTTTTCAACCAAACTTTGACAGAACCCAAGGCTTCCAAGATCCTTTGACAGAATAAGTATATGCAACACCACTTGGCAAATGGAATTTAATGTAAATAAATGCCATGTTATGGAATGTGGAATAGGAGAACATAGACCCCACACAACCTATAAATTATGTGAGAAATCTTTAAAGAAGTCTGATAGAGAGAGAGATCTAAGCATGGTTCTAGATAAAAAAAAACTATCACCTGAGGATCACATTAAGAACAGTGTGCGAGGAGCCTATGCTACACTTTCTAACTTCAGAATTGTTTTTAAATACTGTACATGGATGGGGAAATACCAAAGAAATTGTTCTCGGCTTTTGTTACACCAAAGCTGGAATATGCAGCGGTTGTATTGTGCCCATATCTTAAGAATGTTTTAATGTTTTTGCCACTTCTACCTCTGCTCTTTATTGTGTTCACAAACTATATGGTTTGCTTCTTTTGATTTTGCAACATCAGAAACAGCACTCATATCAATGCCACTCTCCTCTGACAGCCACTTTCCTCCTCAGCTATGATCATGTTTTTCTAACAAATTGACCTTTGTATCCAAGGAAAGGAAGCTCCTCTGAACAGTCATGTACCCACACTACTCTTGCCTCACAACACTGCTTTAACTCACAAATAATGATACCTGTTTATTATAAGAAAATCGAGTGGAAATTCATGAATGACTAGAAGTTAGATCACACTCATGTACAACGGAAAACACACATGCAAGGTAGGTACACCCTCATAGTAAGTCCTTGATATCTATTTCCAGGACAACAGTCCTGAAATAGATGCACTATCTGGAATAATATTTATTAATAAATAAATAAAGATAAACAAATATTTAAAATATTATTTATTAAAGTTTATGAGCTCCAAAACACGCTTGGGTTGTGACGTTTCAAAACTCATAAACTGCTTAATATACAAACTGAGCTGCCATAATAGAGGAAAGATGTACAGGTTTTCTAAGTGGTTGCATAAATACTGTATGATTCCTAGCCATTTCCTACACTCCCCTCACCTCATCGAGAAACCAGACTTTGGTCCTGGTTCTTGGTAACTCAAAGTAGGTCAGAGGGGCCTGGAATGAGCCTTGGTCTTAGAGGTACCATTCCATAAACATGCATAGGTACCAAGGGGCTTTCCTAGAAAAGCAATGGATTGACAGGAAGGGAATTATCAGGGGAAAGTGCAAAGTCATTAGACTATATAGCACTTGGAAGGGATCAAGCTAAGGATTTGGGTTGGGACAGGGATAAGGAATGGTGCTTCATTTTATTTCTTCCTTAAGACAGTTCTTCTATATATATAGCTTCTTATAGAATTATGGAAGTTAAATTATAACTAAAATAGTCTTAAAACATATCTCAAAGGGATATGGATGGCCTCAACTCTATATTTTCTTAATGACCTGATTCAGTATATCCTACAAGTCAATCTGGCCGATATGCAATCACTGGTGGTCTTGAACCAAAAATCACTGCACTAAACATCAAAGTACTGTATTAAATTATTCCTAAAGAATTATCTAAACAGAAAATTAAATTCTAGGTAGACATGAATAATGCCATATTGTCCCCACACATTTATGGGCAACTGCAATAAAAATAAAATACAGTACCTAATAATTCTGGATCTGTAAGTGCAGACGAGTTCTCATTTAGCGTGGCAACGCTGATTTTCTCAACCACGTCAGCAAGTTCTTGACGCGACCCAGTTAATGCAGTAATGTCTTCCAAGAAACTATTGATTACTGGTACCTGAAAGAGAAGATTTAATAATAAGAAGCCGCTTCCTTCACAGGACTGGGTGACAGCATCAAAATACATAGGTAGGAACTATAATACCTACATAATGCCAGCTAGATTTTTTTTTTCGATAAACTACAGTACAGTAGTAAGGATTTTTACAGTAGTAAGGAGTCCCATATACAGGGACTGTATATGTCCCATATACAGTCCCTGTATATGGGACTGTCCTCGATTTGTTGCAGCCAAAGATTCATTTGCAACTGGAGAGTGAATTGGGAGACATTTGTGTAATTCAATATTTTTAAGTCAGCATAAAAACCCATCATTGAATGTAATGCAATGCCTCTTTCTGGTAGAGCCCTGCTGGCTCCCTGTAGCTATCTCGCTGAGATTGCTACATTCTACAAGTCGCATCAGTTGCGAGAGTTCTGCTTGGCCTACCAGGGACTAGAGTTAGAACCTGGCCCCCCTATTAACCACTTCAGGGATGCAGGGAAAGTTATGGACAGTGAGATCTGGCTGTCCATAACTTTAGATTTATGAAGCAATTACACAAGTACTTTGGAAAGTTTTCGTTCTTACCATCGTCGTGGCGATTACGTCAGGATTCAAGAAGGCATTTAGAAAAGGCAATCTTCCGAAGAACACCGCCTCGCGCTACGACACCTTCAGACCAGTCATAGCTTTATGTAAACCGTATATAACTCAAGTTGATCTCTACTACACAAACCCGAGGATCGAAATTTAATAATAAACAAACTATTTCTGCTGGCGAGTCAACGGCACGTACCATTTTTTTTTTTTTTTTGGCAGGGATATTCCTGCACAGGCCCTAAGCACATACCATCAAGAAGTAGTAGTCCTTGTTAGCTATATATGCAGTTTCTGCTTGTAACTTATAATAAATACAGTACAGTGTGTTTTTTGAAACTATAATTATTTATCATAGCAAGATATTATTCCAGTAGTTATTAAGTAAATAAAGACTGATGAACGTGAAATATGAGAGTAGGTGATGATTCCTGGCAAGACAGGCAAGCTTGAGAGCATTTACTATCACCTAATTCCCTGTTCACCTAGCAGTAAGTATAGCTACCCCGAAGTTAGTCAGCTTGTTGTGAGGCTGTATCGTTAGGGGGCGGTGGCCCTCGATACAGGTCTAACACGTATATAATTAATAATAATAATTCAGTGTCAGGGACAGGCAGCCAGAGGGTATGTATTTGTGTGTGTTTATAAAAATATATATATATATATATATATATATATATATACTGTTAGGCTTATATTGAGGTCCCCCCCTCCCAAGGATGCACTTTCACAATAAGGTGACTAACCCTTGGGTACCCAATTACTGCTAAGTAAGCTAGGTGAACAGGTGCATAGGCGTTGGAGACAGCTATGTCAATGTTTAGTGGCCTGTTTCTAAGGAATTCTTGAACTTTAAGATCTGATGTTACAAGACATGGTAGCAATCTAAGTCGGTACTGTTTAGTGGCCTTTTTCAAACTGTTTGGCAACTTATTTGTTTCTTTTTCTTTACCATGCAGTTGAGACTTACTAACTGGATGTTGGAAAGTGCTTACTGTTAAGGTTCGATCAAAATCCAGTATTCAAGATAGCAAGTTGTTGTTGAGGCATGTATTTACACTTGGAAAATGTTAAGGAGGACTGGTTCCAAATCAAGAAATAACACCACACGAGATCAGCAGACACAGCAGGACGTGCAAAAAATAGCCCTATTGTAAAGCAGAGGTACAATACTATCGTTATGGGGAACGTTAACTAACGTTAATACGTAAATACTAACGTTAACCCTAAGAACCAAAGCAAGGTAACCATCCACGTGTATCAACGCGGCGCGGAAACCCGGTGGGGCCTTTATTAATTCAATAATTTTAACTTATTATCCAAGACATTCTACCTTTATGTTAGGTAAGAGTCCTCTGGATATATATATTATTTAAATTTAGACTTGGTTTTCTTAGTACTTTTAAATTCTGTTGTTCATCGAAACCCAGATGACTTATTACTGGTGTCCGTCATATATTACCTCAGAAGAAGAATTACAGGAGTGGGTGAGGGAGGCGAAGACGTTGATTGGGCCCTCGTCAGCGTCGGCGGGGTACGTGGCACTGATTATGTCGTTCAGGCCACGGTGAGCCTGAAGTAATTCGTTTATCCCAACCTCGTCACTCATGGTTCCCGCCACGAACACTACTGGCTCCCTCTCCGACATAAACAATCCAATCAAATGAAAAACTTTAAATTAGTTTAAAATTGTAATACAATTTACAATTTAAGCATAAATGATTGTACATTTCTTATTTCTATTATAATTAATTATTATTAACTTATCAATATGAGCACCATTATTTCAGACTGCGGCGAATGGCCTAATCAGAACCTACATACCTCTGTTATTTTTTTTAACTAGCATAGTATACACAGCAATGTCTTTAAATAATTCATTGTGTCGGGGGGACAGGAAGCCAGAGTGTATTCATACACGTTTGGCTTTCATCGAGGTCTCCCCCACCCTCAAATTACTGACCCCGCCCAGGAGGCAACCCCGCAACACGCTGATTAATTCCTGAGTACTGTATCTACTCACTGCTAGGTGAACAGCAGCATTAGGTGAAAGGAAATGTGCCCAACCATTTCTGTCCCACCGAGGATTCGAACTCGGAATTCTGGATTGTGCGTCGAAAATAAACCCTAATGTACTACCGGGGACCCGAAATATATGAAAGATTACACAGTGAATTAATTTAAAATTAAAATTAAAATGTTTATTCAAGTAAAAGTACATACACAGAAGATGAGTTACAAACATAATGTTGGATTTATAGATAGAGCTCGTACATACAATACCTAAAGCCACTAATAATACGCATAGCGTTTCGGGCAACAGTTGATATATATTGAAATGATAATGATATTGAAGCCTTACAATTGATCTACACGAACTTCACAAATGGTCAGAAGACTGGCAAATGCTTTTTAATATCGACAAATACAAGACCATGCACGTAGGGCATAACAACCCACGCCACGACTACCAAATTAGTAGCATTACATTACAGCAGATTGATGAACAAAAGAACCTTTGAGTCGAAATCCACTACTCAATAAAAGTTGCACAACAAGTGGGTGCAGAAGTCAGAAGAGCTAACCAAACACTTGGGATAATCAAGCGTACTTTTGACGCTAGGTTAGGTTACAATCACTTAGTTACTACCTACAGTTAGCAAACTGGGGATATTTGGCTAAGTGTTCTGGTAGCAGATCATTTTGAATGAAATTTTTACACATCTCTGGAACATTTGTTATAGAATTGTCTCTGAATTCACATATTTTTTCGCACTCCATCACATAGTGACGGAGGGTGTGCGAATAATTTTGTTGACACAGTTTACATTTGGTCAGGTCTACATCAGTAGATAATGAGAATTCCCAGAGATACTTGTAACAGAGTCTAAGCCGAGAAGCAGTAACATCTTGAAGTCTGCTGATTTTATTGAATGATCCATAGATGTGTGGCTCCTCTTGCATGATAGTATGATGATAGATGGAATTACTGGTGTCGATTTAACTTTGCCTCAGATCTTCAAGATTTTGTTGAAGTTCTTGGTGTAACTATTCCTATCAGACTGCTTATTGACAATCCAAGGTTATACTCAATTTCTCCTTTAAAGGTACATTCTTTGGCTAACTCATCAGCTCTACCATGCATTCGGAGGCCAACATGTGATGGAGTCTACATGAAATGGACTCTGTTACCATCATTAATAATTTTGTTGTATTTTTGTCTAGCTTCAGACACGAGCATGTTAGTTATGTTTTAAAGAGTTGGGAGCCATTAAGGATGATAAAGAGTCCCAATTAATATATCAAGTTTGGAGATTTGTACACATTTCAGTGCAAGAGCAAGGCAAATAGTTCAGTTTGAAGGGTAGAGGCCCAGTTGTTTATATGGATTGATTGATTGATGAAGATTAAGCCACCCAAAAGGTGGCACGGGCATGAATGGCCCGTAAGTGGTGGCCCTTTGGAGCCATTACCAGTATCAAGAGCTGATACTGGAGATCTGTGGAGGTGCAACTGCACCCTGCGTGACGGGAGATGTCTCCCGTGGGTGTTTATATGGACTCGACCCCATTCTAAATATAAGCCATCACCCATTGTCAGGTTACGGGCTATTCATGCCCGTGTCACCTCTTGGGTGGCTTAATCTTTATCAATCAATCATTGTCAGGACAACTGCACTTCCAGCTGCACCCGTGGGGCGGTGTAGGGAACCATCAGTGTATATGATATGAGAGAGAGAGAATGTTCTGTGGACAGAGCATCAATATGACTTAAGGCTTTGAGCTTTGCCTTAAGACGAAGCTTGGGCTGATCTTTAATTTTGCTTCTTAGGTGGAAAGGGAGGGACTAAAATTGGAAAGAGTGTAATCTCCCACGGTGCCCTAAAGTGCCGTTGTTATCTCTCTTGGTACAAATGATAATTCTGATGCATTCTGAGTTTAGTTCCAATTTTAGTTGTTCATTTGGGACAATGTTGTCGTTCAATAAGGAAATTCTGGAGGGCTTCTGTGCAAGGTTTAGGATGAGCTAGCCTAAGCATTTTTATACCTATTTGACAGTTAATTCCTGTCAGTTTCTTCAAAAAGTCAGATGTAACAAAAACAAGGATCAACGATTTCAAGCTCAACAAACCTCATTGTAGGACTGAGAACAGATTTTTTTTCACCCACAGGGTTAAAAAAACCATGGAATCGCCTACCCGCCGAAGCCGCAAACGCCAAAACTGTATTAGGTTTTAAAATCTACCCGAAGAGGATCATCAAGGCAAATGTAGGGACCTTCAACAAGCCACCGGCTTCCTATCCTAATCGAGACCACTAGTGTTAGTGTCCCCTAGGTAATTCATACCGTAATTGCCAAAATTGTTAAATTTTAAAATCCAACTGGAAAAAATCCTCTGGGCAAATGAGGGGGGGGGGGCTCTGACAAGCCGACGGCTTCCTGTCCTCGTCGAGGCCACTAGAGTGTTAGTGGCCCTCAGGTAAATCTGGGGCAATATCAGCAGGAAACGGGGTGAGAACAGCTTGAGCTACCTCATCCCTTTGTGTGTATTTTACCTCAATAAACGTATTTCAATTTCAATTTCAATCAGCAGGAGTGAAATTGGTGGGCACGTTTCCCTATACTTGATGCCAATGTTCACCTGACAGTATAAAATAGTGGCATATATTGGCCGGGGGTTAGATCATCGTTGTGGGTTTAGCCTAGGAAAGATCAGTAATTGGCCTAGGGGGAAGCCTCCATAATCCTAACTGCAGTCTTTCTGTCCCCGAAAACGTATTAAAAAGTAATAATAATAATTAGCAGTAACGCAACACAAACCGATCGGCTGCTGTGACTGCCTGTGAGTTAAAGGTAAACAAGAGGCTCAGCTGATCGGCAGGAGGCGGCTGCTGCTATCTACTGTCACTTCTGCTGTATTTCTCCTGTTGCTGTTGATGTATTCTGTTGTATCTCAACTACTACCGTCTGTCTGCAGTTACTGTCAATCCTGTTGCAGTATCACTTCCGTAGCTGCTGCCGGCGTCGCTGTAGGTGGGGATGTCGGACCAGGTCAAGCTAGTGATCGCCGGTTTGCTGAGTGCCCTTCTAGCCTGCGGCCTTTACCAACACCTCTTTGACCACCACCCTAACAAGTGTCAGATGACCTATATGTACCAGCTTCCCCAGTTTATTGTGAGTACCCTGCTGGTCACTCGTTTATTGTGAGTACCCTGCTGGTCACTCGTTTATTGTGAGTACCCTGCTGGTCACTCGTTTATTGTGAGTACCCTGCTGGTCACCTTAGTTTATTGCAAGTACCCTGCTCGGCCCCCCACAGTTTATTGCAAGTACCCTGCTCGGCCCCCACAGTTTATTGCAAGTACCCTGTTCGGCCCCCACAGTTTATTGCCTGCTTAACACCCCTAGTTTATTGGGAGTATCCTGCTTGGCACCTCCAGTTTATTGGGAGTACCCTGCTCGGCACTCGGTTTATTAGCTGCCCAGCACCCTTAATTTATTGCAAGTACCCTGCTAGGCACCCCTAGTTTATCTCATGTACTCTACTCAGCACTCCCAGTTTATTGCGAGTACCCTGCTCTGCACCCCCAGTTTATTGCGAGTACCCTGCTCGGAACCCCCAGTTTATTGCGAGTACCCTGCTCGGCACCCCCAGTTTATTGCGAGTACCCTGCTCGGCACCCCCAGTTTATTGCTAGTACCCTGCTCGGCACCCCCAGTTTATTGCGAGTACCCTGCTCGACACCCCCAGTTTATTGCGAGCACCCTGACGCCTGAAAGCACCTGACAGCTGGGTGGACAGCGCTGACAACTGGGTGGACAGCCCTTCGGATTCGTAGTCCTTAGGTTCCGGGGCTCGATCCCTGGTGGAGGTGGAGACAAATGGGCAAAATGTTTCAGTCATTGTACAGTTTATTATGTTCCCAGCACAGTTCACAGATCATTGATCACACAATGATCACACAGATCATTGTACAGTTCAGTTGATCACCTTTCATCCATGTATCACTTAGGTGTACTAGCAATGTACTGTCATTATGTTAATGTCAGCAGGAGTTTTTATCATTAATTTATTCACATAATGTAAAAATATTCACGTCTAACTTTTTTTTTTTATTTATATATACAGTACAAGAGTTATTACATTCTTGTAAAGCCACTAGAATACTTAGCATTTTGGGGCAGGTCCTTATTCCTAATTTCCCCCAGAATACGATCCACCAAATTGTTTAACAACCAGGTACCCATTCACTGCTGGGGTGAACAGAGGCTACAGTTAAGGATTGGATCTCGGTCACTCCTTCCTGGCCAGGGTACGAACCCAGGCCAGTGCGCTCGCGAAGTGCCGGGCGAGTGTCTTAAAACTGCGCCATGGGGACTGGTAATTTATATTAGACATTAGCTCCATGGCTACGTAATGTACATCACCAGTACCTGGTGTCTAGAGCAAAGGTTTTCAACCTTCTTTCCTCCACATACCATTTGGTACATGTCATTATCATACCCAGTATAATGTTATTAAAAAAAATATGCAGAATAACATTCAGTAATGTATACAGTATCTGTAAATAGCATCAATAAATGGTAACCATATAACCATTTAATAATGTGTTTCCATCAACAGAAATTAACATTAAAATTATAGAACAATTTCTCATTCTTCACCTGTGGTTGTGCAATATGACTTTCAAGGATAATGTACTTGGTTTTAAATGTACAAAAACTATGTAATTTTCCATCTTTAGAAAATATTTCACACACAAACTGCAGCAAAACTAAAGAGAAAATTGACAGCGGTTATTTCATAATTTGTTTTTAAAATATTACTAATAAGGCCTCAGCTGAGCAGCTGTGCAGGCGTCATTTAAGACCTGCACAGCTGCTCAGTGAATTAATGAGAAGGCTGGTGCTGCTTTTGATGCAGCCAAGTGGCTCTTTTGGTTAAGGCACATCAAAGGTTGGCTTCCACATTCAATTGAAATCTTACTTTAGATTTAATTTTACCTTTAAATTTGTCTGCCACATTTCTATTTTCATTAGAAAACTATTCAGTTAATCAATGAAGTCAATAATATCATCAACCCCTTACAAAGATTTGTGGAAAATACTTAAACTTTGGATTACTTAATTTTGCATGATTCAGCTGAGATTCCTTCTTGATATTATGACTGAAGAACTTGTTCAGCTTATCCTGTAGTTAAAAAATCTTAATGCATTATTTTTTACTTCTGCATAGTTTATTAGGAATACTATCATGTACAATTGTATACAGTACTACATAGCTTACCAATACAGTGCATATATATGAAATTTTATTATAAAGTACATTATATGAAATTTTGCACTTATTCTTTCTTGAGTTGTTGCCAGGCACTACGTTGAACAAACACGAGACTAGGGTTAGGCATACCCTTATAAACCCCTGGCATATTCCCAGGGGGGTATGCATACCCAGGTTGAAAACCCCTGGTCTAGAGCAAGTGGCCAATTACCTGAGAGGGGCAGTGGCTGTTTATAATTTGGTTTAGGTGTGTATATATCCCTATTGGAGATTGGAAACCTGGCATCTCTAGCCAAGGATAAGACTGTCTTCACATGGCTTCTCATGAAGTTACTGGTCAAACCCATTGGTAATTAATCTGTTAAGCTGTGTGACACACTCAGCATGCATTGCAGGCTGTTTCTTCACTGGCTTATTAAACCTTATTTATTCTCAAATGTTTGGGCTGCAGATAAGAGATTCTTTTCTATATTGCACTGTGATAGATATTCTAGACTCGAGAGTAAATAACTTTGGACTTGATTTTATCCTTAGTAAGCCCCTTCACAAATATGCCATATTGTGTTGAGATCAATTAACTGAGTAGGGAAAGTCCAGTCCTCTGTAAAAGCTATCAGAGTTTGTTCTTACTAAAAATTTCAGGCATTATGGTAGGTCTTCAAAGATTCAAGTTGTGATGATCAGTAACCAAAATGCATAAGAAACATTGCTGTAATATCTTGCTTTTAACACTTTCGCTCACCCCGCGCGCCACCCCTCGACAGGGCGATATGGGCCCCAGCGTGTCACGGAAGCGCGCGTTAATTCCGAAAAGTGTATACTCTCTTCAACTTTGTCACCTCAATTCTCCTTCTACGAGATTAAATTTGGTATCATTGTGTTCGCAATAAAATTATCTACAGCACTAAATGTATATAAACTCCAAAAGCCCGGCTAATTACCCGCAGCAAACAGAGAAAGTGCGAACGAGTTACCAGGGAGCGCGCAAACGGGATAAAATGTTTTCACTATTTTCACTCTGGTCACCTCAATTTTTGTCCTAGGTCTTTCATTTTGGTCTCAATGGGTTCATAATAAAATTCTCTAGAGGAACATTAGCATATAAAAAAAAACCTGGTCACGCTCCAACCGCCGACGAGTTGAAGACGGGCCACGCGTTAGCCGTGAGTGAGTGCTCAGAGGCCTTCCTGCTACACTCCAAATTCCCACCCTTTTCAAGCCTTTCTTTCGCAATTTTCTTCCTGGAAGGGCCTTGTTCATGATTACTATCCATCGTGGAGTAAGCGTAGATAGTTTCTAAAGCCGCAGTAAGAAATATAGCCACGGGAAATAGCCGAAATGTTCACACGTTTGAGATGCGAGGGGAGGCGACATTGGTCACAACAGTGGAGCAAAGACAATGGGCCCACGGCGTGTGCCAAGCCGCCTGAGGGCCACGAGGCTCAACAAAGAAAATGGGAAGACATCGGCGCACATTTCAAAACCAGTCCCAAAAAAATCGGATAAAAACCTGATTTTTGGCGAATTTTTAAAGTGGATGACGCAATGCTGCGTCATCCCCGGCATTACCGCCAGTAAACGGATGACGCAATGCTGCGTCATCCCCGAGCGAAAGTGTTAATACCGTGAAAGGTAATAGGGTATAGGCACCATGTAGATTAAGAGAATATTTAGTTTTGAAGGTACTTATATAATGTATATTCTTCTCTACAGCCCATAAAGCTTCCTTCACAAGTGGTAGAGCGTTTTCCATACTACGGTGTGTATGCATATGGAGAAGGAAGCTATTCTGACTCATTGAAGAAGGGCCTTTACACAGGCATTCCAGTTCTCTTTATACCTGGAAATAGTGGTTCCCATAAGCAGGGTAAGTTCAGGCGTTGTACTTCAGTTTGGATATCACAGGCTTATATTATGCTACTCATGTATTTGTGTATTTAGTGACTATTTTGCAAATTTGCATTTTGTGTAAATTTAAGCTGAATAAATATGGAATAGGAGTTTTTTTTTTTACACAGATGAGTACAGGAATAGATAACTTCTGTTAGCAGGCTGAGAGCAGTCCTCTCCTAATAGTTCATGGTAAGCCTTATCCGCTAGTTTGCCCTCAAACCATACCCACTATTCGGTTAACAACCAGGTACCCAATTACTGCTCTTTGAACAGAGGTGAACAGTTAAGGATTGACATCCAGACAAACCTCCCTGGCCAGGGAACGTAGACAAATCACTCGTGAGGATCGATAGTGTCAAAAGTACAAAATATTGTACCAAGAAATTCACCAAATTTGGTATAAAAGTACCAAGTTCATCAAACTTACTTCTACATAGAATCCAGAACCCCCCCCCCCCCCCTACATGGATGTCTGATCTCTTACATGGACTCTTGATCCCATTACGTCCTCCACATCTGTTCCTGTCCCCCGCACATCTACTCCTGTCCCTCTACATCTACTCCTGTCCCCCCTCCTGCACTTCCAACCCCCATTTGTGTACTCTCATACCCCCAATACATTCCCATCTTCCCCCTGCATACACTCAATCCCCCCACATGCACTCCACCCCCCACATATTCCAACTTCAGAATTGCTTTCATATACAGTACTGTACTTGGAAGGTGAAATACTAAAGAAATTGTTCATGACTTTTATGAGGCCAAATCTGGAATATGCAGCAGTTGTATGGTACCCATATCTTAAGAAGCACATCAACAAACTAGAAAAGGGGCAAAGACATGTAACTAAGTGGCTCTCGGAACTGAAAGGCGACAGCTACGAGGAGAGATTAGAGGCATTAAATATGCCAAAGCTAGAAGATAGAGGAAAGATAGGTGATATGATCACAACGTGCAAAATAGTAATCGGAATCGACAAATTAATAGGGAAGAATTTCAGAGACATGGAACTTCAAGAACAAGAGGTGATAGATTTAAAGTAACTAAACAAAGCTGTCGAAGAACTAAGCAATGTGAACAAGAAAGTTCACTTTTGCAAACAGAGTGGTAGACAGAACAAGATGGGGGAGGCCAAAACCGTCGGTACTGTAGTTTCAAAGCGTTATGTGGCAAAGAGTACTGGGAAGACGGGACACCACGAGTGTAGCTCTCATTCTGTAACTGCACTTAGGTAATTATTGTACATGCACTCCTGTCCCCCACATGCACTTCCAACCCCAAATATGCACTCCTATCCAAACCACACATTCCCATCCCAACCACACACTCCCATCCCAACCACACACTCCCATCCCAACCACACACTCCCATCCCAACCACACACTCGCATCCCAACCACACACTCCCATCCCAACCACACACTCCCATCCCAACCACACACTCCCATCCCAACCACACACTCCCATCCCAACCACACACTCCCATCCCACACACACACACCTTCCTTCACACTGTGCAAGGAGCCTATGCTATGCTTTCTAACTTCAGAATTGCATTTAAATACATGGATGGCGATATACTAAAGAAATTGTTCATGAGTTTTGTTAGGCCAAAGCTAGAATATGCAGCTGTTGTGTGGTGCCCATATCTTAAGAAGCACATCAACAAACTGGAAAAGGTGCAAAGACATGCTACTAAGTGGCTCCCAGAACTGAAGGGTAAGAGCTACGAGGAGAGGTTAGAAGCATTAAACATGCCAAAACTAGAAGACAGAAGAAAAAGAGGTGATATGATCACTACATACAAAATAGTAACAGGAATTGATAAAATCGACAGGGAAGATTTCCTGAGACCTGGCACTTCAAGAACAAGAGGTCATATTTTTAAACTAGCTAAACACAGATGCCGAAGAAATATAAGAAAATTCACCTTCGCAAATAGAGTGGTAGACGGTTGGAACAAGTTAAGTGAGAAGGTGGTGGAGGCCAAGACCGTCAGTTGTTTCAAAGCGTTATATGACAAAGAGTGCTGGGAAGACGGGACACCACGAGCGTAGCTCTCATCCTGTAACTACACTTAGGTAATTACCCTTAGGTAATTACTGACATTCACTTCCTTTACCCGACATGCACCCATTCCCTGCATGAACTCCCGTTCCTCCACATGCACTCCCATCCCACCCACCCCCCAACACACACTATATTAGTGCCTGATATCCGCACGCACACAAAGAATAGTACTATAAGGAAAGCAAATACTGTAATAAAAATTAGGCCACTAAAATGGCAAGAAACTTCTGTAGATGAGAAACTAGAGCAGTAAATCAATGGGATGCATCAAGATGCATGCCATCTTTAGAAAGATTTGTTTCAAATTATCATTTATATTACCATTTTTGTTGTAGAATATTTTGGTTAGCACTTACATAACTGTTTTAGGTGCGTGAAAGCTATGAAAATAAAAAATTCTTTAGAAACTTAAGGATTGAAAGGATAGACCTTTATCCTCTAAAGTAGGTAAAGATTTAGGAAATATAACAATCCCTTAATTGAATTACATACAGTATTTAAGTCGACTCCTAATTGGAGTATTCAGAACAAATCAATGTTCTGAATATCGAATATCTTTACATACAGTACTGCTGTGTAAAGTATTATGTTCGTCTTGTGAAATCATCCCATTGCACAAATCCCACTTTATAATGGTCAGTTTCTTTGTTTCAGTTCGGTCATTGGCATCAGTGGCATACCGCAAGAGTCTTGATGATGAAAAAGACTTCCATTTTAACTTCTTTACTGTGGATATCAATGAAGAACTGGCCGCATTTTATGGACCTGTATTAGAGAAGCAAACGGAATTCATTGCCATTGTTGTGAACCGGATACTAGAATTGTACACTGATGCTCCAGTCATACCTAAATCTGTTATCCTAGTTGGTCACTCAATGGTAAATTCACTTACTGATATTTTCTCACTTGCACAATAGGTAGTAAAATAATACTTGCTCTTGTCATCAGTGTTGGCACAATATTTATTGGAGTTTTGGTGTTGGTTATCTCTGATATTCACATTGCTTCGGTCTCTTTTTTTTCTCCTAGTGTCCTGTTTTTCTACTTATGCCTGTTGGAGAGAGAGTTGATTTCAATTTGCATTTTAATGCCGTTTCCTTTTAATAAAAATCTCAGTGTAATAAGTAGAAATGTAAGTTTTGCTATTGTCTTATTTTTTTTTAGAGAGTGAGTTGTAATCACGGTAATAGCAACATGTCAGAATGTAATCAACACACTGCCCAGAAACCAAGCCGAGCCGATCTTTCACCTTACAAAGATATTGGAAGGAAATTCTGTTCAAACATCACTGATTTTTATTGGTAAATAGCTTTTTGGTTTACTTGAATTGGCTTACAATAAATTGAAAACTGTGCCCCTGCTATGAGTAAGATTAATGACAATATTTTCGTGCTTTTGGTCATTGTATTCTTATGCATTCCTGAACATGATTAAATGCCCAGTCAGTACTTGATCTTTGTACAGTATCACATTTAAAAATTATTTGTATTTAAGACTGCAGTAGTTAGGTATTTGGACAAGGTTCCATTAACACTTTCGCGCTCTCGGCGCTCAAAAAAAATCAATACCCTAGATGCTTTCGGTACTTCGCGCCCCTACGCGTAAGACCGAAAAAGTGTACACTCTTTTGACTGTCCTGACAATAATTGAAGGCGCACGTATTTAAATTTGGTATCACTGTGTTCGCAATGAAATTGTCTATAAGAGCATACCTATAAAATGCCGCCCAAGCATAAGGAGTATCAACACCAAATAAAAAACTATGCAGATCACTCGCCGAGAGCTCCAAACGGCAACAAAATGTTTCCACTCTCTTAATGATTGCGAAGCCTACAGTTGTCCTACATCGCTAATTTTGGTATCATTGGAATCGCAATAAAATTCTCTACACGGACATATGCATATGAATGTTTAATATAGGTAATTGCCCACCCTCAAGAGTGTGGGAAGTGGAGAGTAGTTAGCCGCGAGCGCACTGGCGAAAACACAGGGGGGAAATCATGCTTGGAAAGTTTATACATTTATACGTTTCCTGACCCTACTTTTCTATGTACGTATTTCTTTTTTATACCAATGTGTTCGCAATAAAATTTTCTATAAGATGAAATGTATAACATTTGTACAAAGCATGTGTAAGAGAAGCGCCAAATATAGAACCACGTCGCTCAGTATGCGTTCACGGCAGAAACGAACGCATTGTTTTCGTTCGTTTGATGTTTGTCATGTTTATACTTGTTGAAACATTTTATAATTTGTATGACAGTGATCGCAGTAAAATTCCCTACACAGACATATACATAACACATACAAATATTTCCCACGTGTTGGATATATCAACGGCTAAAGGGAACCCACTGCCACACGACCGCCACACCCAGAGCCACACCCGCCACACCCCCAAACATACTTTGTGTTTTTTTTTTTTTACTCATAGAAGTTTATGTGATATAATATTCATTCTGGTACCAAAAAATTCGCAAATAAATTCTCTACAAAACGTATATAATATAACTTCTTATAGATGATAAAAAATTCCAAATAGGTGTACTTACCCTGTCTATGTTGATTGAAGATCAACAGTTGAGCATTTTTTCTTCACTCCACCATCTTCAGGCTTCTGATCCTGAAGTTGCTCATCTGATGTTTCTTAGGTGGAGTGAAGCTGTTGCCGGTGGTTATTTTTTCTCCACCCAAAATATCTTTCTTCGGTGGTACCTTGTGTAGCAAGGCGCAGCGCACAGTGCCACATCACAAGTTTTACATCCATATATCACGTCCCTCCTTTTGCCAGACTTGTAACAAACACGGCATCTTTTTTTTTATCCAAGTGCACGAGTTCATGCGTCAACTTGTAGTTGAGACGTTGTTCCGAATCTATAATTCTTGTATTTTTTGGATTCACTGGAAGAATATTGTCTTCTACAGGAACCACCAAACTTGTAGTAGAATCTTCTATGAAATCAGAAACATCAAGTGGTTCTATGTCCTCAATGTCCATTTCAGAATTTGTGGTTGATGAGTGGGCTTTAGGTGTTGAGGTGAACAGAGGACGCCTAGCACCAGATGGCCCGGGTGTTGAAACTGCCGCGTCAGCAGGAGGAGCTGCGCTGGCATCTATGTCGGGAACATGTGGTATACTTGTTGTTGTTGGCCATTCCTTGCTGTTCCACGCCAATAAGGCTTTTATTCCTACTGCGTGAAACTCTAATAGTGTTAGTTTTTTTGTATCTGTTGAGTAGTGGTTATACAATGCGTATGCATTGTGCATGGCCATTTGCAGAAAATAGAAAGTGATCTTGTTGGTCCATTTGTGGGTTTTTCTTGCAAACTCATAATATTTGACCATTTGATCAAAATGATCAACACCTTTCATGAACTTATTGTAATCCACTATGGCCTTGGGTTTGTTCATTTTCACAATTTCTACTCCAGTTCTCCCGTCACCTTTACGAACGCGTTTCCTGCGCTGTGCTTGAGTAGTGTCGGCATTGTGGATATTGGTGATGACAGAGACGGGGCGCTTGTCCTTCCAAACTATAACAAAGGTGTTATCCTTACGCATGTATACGGTCGTGTCGGTTGCCATTTTACCCTTTACAACTTGTTGCAGATCCTTGGGGGTGCCACGTTGTAGTCTAAGTGTGCCACATGTGTAAACATGTGGAAGAACTTAGAAATGTGTTGGAACCGAGCAGACGACATAAACAAGTTGAAGAATCGACAATGCCACATCTGATTCGTCTGCCAGTACATCCTCATTGTAGGCATCTTCACTATGCCCATCAGTATGCACAGGGCCAAATATCGGGCCATTTCTTTCACCGACACTGGTTTCCACGTTTTTCTTGCTGACTCAGCCATGAGATGTATGACGTGTGTGGCATGCAAATTTGTTTCATACTCTTAAGTATTCAACCACTGCTCTAGTGAAAAATAATTGTAAAAACTGCAATGGAGTAGCAGGTAGTGGAATTGTTAGGCCAGGGGTTGCAGTAAAGTTATCAACGATGGGAGGAGTATTGCTACGATTCCACTCATCACCCAGCCTAGCCCTCTTTGGTACCGGACACGTGCGGTCACCGCGTGGCGGGGCTGGGGCTTCTTCATCACTCTCATCCTCACTCTCAGTCGAAATATCTTCATCACTTGAGGAAACCTCATAAAGAACATCATTTTTTAACTAGACCACTGAAAACAGGCAGGATACCTTCAATAGCAAATGCACATAGTTATTCATCTGAAACATATCGTTTACATGAGCTTGCCTTGGAACTTGTAAGAGAGAATGTAACAGCTGGAAAACATCCTGAGGAGCGTGGGGGGGGGACCTTTGACAAGCTGCTGGCTTCCTGTCCCAATTGAAGCCACTAGATAAACAGTAGCTTGCAGGTAAAAGAATTTGGTTTATTTTTTGTGTTTTTGTTCTAGTTTTAGCATCCATAGTAATATTTTGGATCTTTTGATTAAAATTTAGGTTTGTTCCGATTGTTTAGGAAACATGGTACTTGGACATATATTGACTTACCTTGAGGAGTGGGATGTAGCTCTTTGGGCCCTGCCCCTAATCAATTGAACCTAGTAAACTTAAATTTGTTGTTCGATTTCTTGCTTACATTTTGTCTTGAAGCTTCGGATGGTTATTGCATCCACTACCGCTATACAACTATGGTTCATTCCCTTTATTGACCACTTTCACCGTAGATGAATGTTTTCTCATATCTCTAGCTTTTTTGTATTTCCAGCATTCACATATATCTTATCCAGATAGACACCTATGTCTATCCTTGTCCAAATTGTATAGTCTCTTGAGTCTAGAGAGTTGTTTGACTTTCCATAACCTGTCTTCATAACTTGGACTATGTAGTTTGGGCACTAGAATTGTTGATTTTTTTTTCTGGGTTGGTCCCTATAGGAGCTCCTCAGAACTTAAGTGCTGGTACTGCTAAACCATCAGGTTGTACTAGGCCACTGAGCCTTGTGCAAGCTTACCAGGTACTAGGACCAGAATCTGGTTATCTCAACAAGGCTAGGGAAGATTGGGGATCAGATATTGATCCAAAACAGGAAAACCGAATAGGAAATTCAGATAAAACAAAAACCAGTTCTTGACAGAAATAAATGTACGGTGAAATGGATACATATAATAATTGACAACGGGAGGATAACCCTAGCTCAAACTCACCCAGCCACAACTTGATGGTAGGTTAGGCCTTTACATACCTCATGTACTTGGTGCCATGAGGGCTGTACTCTTCTGCTGGGACACCTCTCTTAGGACACCTCTGCTACTTTTCGAAGCTGAATGGTGTTGGTTTTCTGTGAAAGAATTGTGCTGTGTGAGGCCATTAACTGCGTTCGTTTCTTTTGCTCTTCACGATTGTGTTTATGCAACCAATATAATGTGTTGCGTGACTATTAATTCACCCCATCTTTGGTTCAGGGTTCTCTTCCCTGACTTTAGGTTTGAGTTTTCCTTGCTCTATCAGTTATCTTCTCTGAGGAGTTTGGATTTCTTGTCGTCAAGTCTGCTCCTTTCAGGTTGCCTCACTTCGGGGAAGTGCTTGGGGATTGTTTCCAATGTGAGGCCTGATGATAGAGAGTTAATATATTTAGGTGTGTGCTTGCATGCATGTTGTGCCTGGCCAGGACTAGTGTGCGTTTGGATCTCATGCTTTAACCAGGCTTGCAGTCATGTTGTCAAGTGATTGGCTTCATACACCTTTTCTTATTGTTTAATTTTCATGGTTTGTTGTTCAATTGTCCAATAAAGCAACCATTATATCTGGCATGTCTGCAGCCCTTGCAGCCAGTTGCCATATGGGTAAGAGGTTTATTTATTTGTTTTAGGGTTCAGGGGTTATTTACCCATGGGCGTGCAGGAATTTTATAGCTAGGCCATAGTGTTGGCCACTTACCCTTGGGAAGACTGCCTTTCTGTAGTACACGCCAATTGCCCAGGGCAACTGTTGGCTTTTGCCCCTGCGACAGCAGTTGTTGACCTTTGTCCTTGTTAGGCAGCTGGAAGTCTTTGCTCTTGTAATGATACTGTAGCTGCAACTGCTACCTAGGTGCCCTGGACATTTTGTGCAATGTTTGTTCCATGATGGGTTATTGCCCCAAATTCTGAAAGGTCCCCCTCAATAACTTCCTGAGCTTAAGCACTGGTATAGCCAAGCTTCAGAAAATTGCACCAGGCCTCTCTAGTTAGAGTAAGTTAACTAGAGAGCTAGTAAGTTAGAGACCCACTCTAATTTGTTGGGAGTCGAGACCAAAATCTGGCCCTTTCTACATGGCAGGGGAATCTTGGGGATCAGAAATCAACCCAAAACTAAAAAAAAGAAAAGGAACAGAATTTTCCTGAAGACCACCATCCTTAGTGTTCCCAGTTGTGACAGGAAGTCGGTAGTTTTTTAAGGTCCCCCATTGTTCCTGAGGATTTTTTTTACAGTGGAATTTTAAGCTAGCATTTATGACTTCAGCGAGTAGATAATTTTGTAGATTTATTACCCTATATGCAAAAACACACATGTTTCCTGTCCTGCATTTTGGCTTGCTGGGCTAGTGTCTTTTTCATTTGACATTGTAAAGAAGTGTTCTAGATTAATATCCAACTTGTTCAGTATTTTTAACATTTTCGCTGGCATGGCGGGGCACTCAAGTTGCACTGGAAGGTAGGCTGAGCATTCCCGGTGAGCACACAACCCAATGTTAAACTCATTCACCCCAGAATGAGTTTACTTAATAATAAGCCATTGCAAAAATGTTTGCATGTCACCGTTTGTGTCATCACACACACCGGTTTTTGGTTGTATTTTTACGATGCGTGATTGGGCAGCGAAAGTATTAAGGTCTTGATGAGATTAGTTCTATCATGTCTGGTTTGTAGTCTTGTTAGTCTTGAAGCTCTCAACCATTCCTGATATGAGAGTTGACTCAGTTCTGGGTTTTGTAGCTGTGTGGAACTTTTTCCAAAGCAGATGTGCTCTTTTGAAGGTAAGGTCTCTGTGTTTGGGTAAAGAAATCCAATTGGGGCACACCAGATTCTGAACTTGTATACAGTAGTTGAATCACCACTTTCTTTTCCTTGAAGTCAAAAGTTCTTTTGATTACTCATATGGTTAGGTGCAGCAAAACAAGCAACTTATTAAGGGATATTGTTAACTCTGAGGTAAACATGGCAAACAATATCTACTGCGGAGAATCTGTCCTACAGTGATAAATGCACCCGACCAATAGAAGGAAAGTGTAAAGCGGGTCCTTTAATTATCAATAATATCAGGTCAGAACTCATAATGGGCATACTGTATAGCCAAATATTGGTTTGGCAATAAGGCTGCATTGTGTGTACGAGTCGAATACATTACCAGCTAGCATTATTGAGGCTAATAATTTCAAAGGTTTTAAGAATAGGATGGATAAACAAAAGTGAAAATGGTTGTACTGTATCTGAATAGAACCTGCTATGAATGAGCCAGTAGGCCTACTGTTGCATTTCTTATCATTTGTTCTTATGCTGGCCTTAAGTTTGCCAGTTTCCCAAATGCTGTTGATCTTACCCTATTTTCTTGCACTTGTAGTGTCAGAGCTGATGTTATGCCTCCTCTTAAACACTGCTATTGTTCTGAAACCTATAGCTGGCTGCCTCTCATACTGTAGCTTCTAGTCTTCCCTTCACTTTCCCAACTTTATTACCTTACACTTGCTGTTGTTGAAATCTAACAATGCATTGTCTGCCCACTTTGTCTAGGTCTTCCAGAAGCATTCTTCAGTCCTGATCAATTTATATTCGCCTCATTAATTTTACATTGTCTGCAAATATTGACGTGTGCAATCTACTCGGCCTTTTATTTCTCGAATTCTATCATTAATCTTCTTGACTATCAAACACAAGTTTAGTAGGCTTAAGGCTCTCCCTTCCCACATCTTGTCTCAAGCCACACTACTAGTTTATGTTATAACATGATCTGCCAATAGGTCAACTATCCAGTTCTCTATTATGTACTGCTGAATGAACAGGTAAAAACAGTTAAGATTGTTACTCAATCATTATTCCCTCCCTAGGGCTCGAACTCAGGCTGATATTACATGCGCATTGTGCAGGGTGAGATTGCTATTGTTGCATCAGACTGTGGTCATGGTGATATGTAGTCTGGCCCCATTGCTTTTATTGTCTCTAGTTACATCAGACGTTTTTTTATCTCCTCAGTGACTACAGTGCTTTCCAGCAATGTTTTAGTACTGATTTCATTCCCCTTACTTGGTCTCCACTAATGATACGGCAACTGTCAGGGTAAGGAAATGTGGTGCTGCACTGGTCTAGCTTAGGTTAAGTTGTTTGCAAAATCTACATGCCGATGTTTTCCTGTGTGTGTGTGTGTGTGTGTGTGTGTGGGGTGGAGGGGTGGTAGTGCTGGAATTATATCCACTCGTACATCTTTGTCTGATTCCTATGGTGTTTCTTCCTTAACGGTATAGATTCCTTCCAGATGCCTGTCACCTTTTCTATCTTCATTACCTATCACTTGCTGAGGTTGGACTTGGCTAGCCATTTTTCCCCCTCACTCATGTAGTTTGTAAAGGTCTTCCTCCACTGGGGATCGAACCCGGAACCTTAGGACTACGAATCCCGAGTGTTGTCCACTCAGCTGTCAGGCCCGTCAGGCTAGATTGTTCACATAGATTAGGAACAGCAATGGGCATAGGACTAAGATTTAAAGGACCTTGTTTTTGGCATACCTCCAGCCTGACATATGTCTGACTGTTATTGTCTGTTCCCCTTTTATCAGGTACTCTGACCAAGTTTAGTATCTTTCCAGTTATCTCGGATTGCTTCTCTTGGACAGTATACTAGTCTTCTGTGAGGAACGGTATTAAATGCCTTTTGATAACAAAGAAAAAATGCAGTCTACTCATCCTTCTCTTGTTGCATCATGGCAACTCTGTCATGGAACACTGTCAAGTTAGTGAGGCATGACTTTTTGTCAGTAAAGTAATTGGGGTCTCTGGTTTACAAAGTTTGTCCTCTGCAGTTGCTTCATAAATATCTTCTTGAGTATTTGCCACAGTATTTGCATTTAATGCATGCTAATGTCACTGGTCTATAGCTTAGTACTTCATGAGTGTAACCTTTCTTAATGCCTAAACAGCTTGGCACCATTTGATCAAAACTGAATCGTCTCGGGTGTTGATTTCCATCGAAGATAATACATATAGGCATGTTTCCTTACACCTAATACCTATGTTCACTTAGCAGTCAATAGATTCCTAGGAATTAATGTAATGTTGTGAGTTGCATCCTGGGAAAGGTCAGTTTCCCAGGATGCAACTCGGGAGAAGTTGAAGTCTCAGGAGACTTCAATAACATTAACAGGCTTCCTGGGCATGACAATTGGACACTATTGACAACAATAAGTGACAATGCTACTGAATTGCATGAATGACTTTGAGTTTTTAGCACTTTAATTTTTTTGACATGTGTTGGTGTTTGCTTTGCATATTATGGTGCATGTTCTGGGTTAAAGTTCAAATGTTAATTTAATGCTTGTTCCTTTCTGAGTCTTTGTCATTTGTGCATAATCAAATGTCTCATTGAAATGAGACATTTGAGTTGTTTTGAATGATAGATTTTAAAGATAAGATATATGAGATTCCAAAATTTTTTTGCAGACCTACTTTGTCAAGTGCTATGTCATTATTGTTGTCTGTCTATTAAATTGGTAGCTTGCTAAGAGCAAGAGATGGGAAGCATTTTGAGACCTATCTATAGGTTTCACTGGGATTGCTTGTACAGTATCTGTCTTTGATTCTAAATATGAAATGTTCTTTATCATAATTGACTATTATTCAACTGGTAAAATAGTCATTTAGTTCAATGCTATTTTTTTTGTAATGTTTCAGGGAGGTATGGTGGCCAGAGCGGTATATACAATAAATACGGTATCACCATCCAAAGTGTCCCTCATCATTACGCAGGCTACACCACACACCCGTCCAGTAGTTGTCCTGGACCAGTATCTTGAGCAGTTTTATGAGAAAGTAAGTCCATAGAATAGTGAATAACGAGATGCTCACATGGGATGGTAAGCAAAAAATACAATAGATTGTGTCACGGGGAGTGGGCCGGGGCTCTGCTAGCACTCAGCTGCTAGGGGCTCAAAAGGCTGAATACTCAGCCCCTCCGACTCCCGGGATTCACCGGAGTCTCCTTGGTCACACAGGAGAGGACCAACAATGCCCACCTCCGCAGGTCTTTGCTTCCACCACAAAAGGGGTGCCACTGATTCACCCTGGAAGCCCTTCAGTCAAACACGGGGAAACTACTGTTAACAGTTCCGGCCTAGACCCGTGGAGGAGTGAAGGAAGACTCAGGCTTACCTTATAACCATAACCTCCCTGAGTCTTGCCTGCCAGACAAAAAGGTTGCAGGAACTCCTTTCCCGCCTGTCTTCTCTATCTTCTTCTTAACAAGGTCGCCAGCTGGGTTATTATATCTGCACCCCAGCAATGCAGTTCAGTGGGTGTATTATATATTGTTTGTAGCCAGAAGATTGCTACTCCCATAGATCTGCTACTAGACTGTCGGCCCAGGGTACTCTCCCGGGAAGGTCTGTGTGGCTTTACCTCTCTCTAGCCACCACGTTACTAGTTGCCACCATTCAGGCACTGATACTGATCGGATGGCTAAGGGTACACTTTTATATAGGTCCGTGCTGTCTTTACCACTCTCCAGGCAATAAGAACTTCTATAGAGAACGTAGTGTTCCCTAGGTGGTACTATGATAACCTTCGTGTATGCTCATAGAGAAATATTATAATGGAGGCACACTTAAACACAATGATAAAAGTGTGAATTTACTGATGCAAATTACATGATCACACATACAATCACAAGTAATACATGAATATGAAAATAAGGATAATAAGTCTGGAGACCGTCAGCCTCTTCTTCCACGACCTCCAACACTCCTTCAACTGGGCAGAAAGACAAGAGTCCCACACTCTCTCACAGGAGGGCCTCTTCACCACGTCGGCGCCTCTTCTTCACTGTCCTGCCATCCATACACACTGTCCCCTCTGACAGTTCTGGACACAAGCTGCCTTGCAGCCTATTCTACTACTAAAGTATTAATGTCCTATTGCCACATACATAAGTAAATATGTGGCCTAACTAGCCTACTCACACAAGGGGTAATGGGAGGGAAAATGATCTTACATTCCTGGCTCACGACGCCTGTCCCTCGATGGTGTGAGGTTCCCATGCTTCCTGAGTCGATCCTTGACGATCCAGGAACGTTCCACAGGTTCTCAGGTGTCGTGGAGCCTTCGCGTCGTCGCCGTTCCAATTCCTGAGATTCAACTACCCCAATCCTGGTTCATCGATGGGCACTGAGCTAATCACTATTTTCCCACACTCGCCCCTTCCACAAGGCGTTGCTCCTTGTCCTAGGAACGGTGTCGTCCTTCCAAAACCCTCAGTGGATGTGACCCGGTCACAGCTAGGCTTGCCCGCCACACCTTTCCAGGCCCTCAACGTCCAGCGTCGCCGCCCAGCGTCGTCGCCGAATATTTTCCAAGTTTGGCACTCTTTTGCTCAATAGACTTGGTTCCTTTTTTGCTTCCTAGAAGCGCGGGGTCTCCAATACATAAGATGGGCTGCAATAGCCAGCTCTAATCCACTAAGAAAGGCTTGTAGAGCCTCAAATCCTTGAGAGCTGACCGAGGTGCGTCCTCTCGCCTTCACGGTCAGGTCAACTCTGACGTTGGCGCCGCCCGGGGCACTCGGTGACGTCATCGCGGGCCCTGATTGGTCGCCCGCGACCTAAGTCGGCCAATCCGCGATCGGCTAGTGTCCCTTCCAAAACGTCATATCTGCAGTAGGGGATACTCTTTCATTTTATATCAGGGTGCCAATTTCCCCTTACTTACAACTTATAATGTAACTTTCTCCCTTAACTGGCAGCCGGTCTGGTCGCCACATATATCAATAGACTCCCTGAACCTCAGAGAATCAGTAGGGATAGCTGAATATGACTCTTAAAGCGGGCAAACGAAAGAAATAGGAGAAGGCACCGTAACAATTGTTAAAAAAAAAATTGAATGTAATGAAAGGCCTCTTTCTGGATGGAAGGGGGGGCCTCAATGGCTCTATCGCTAGCCACACCAAAGATAGCTCTACACCTATAAGTCACATCAGTCCTTGCAAGTCATTAAAAGCCTACTGGGGACCAAAGGTTAAAACCTGGCCCCCTCAGAGAGTTACAGAGAGCAGGGGACTCTTGATCACCCTCAAAGAATCAAATCCTCAGAAAATTTGCTAAGCATAAGACAATGGCAAGGTTCACAAAGTTATTGTTTTGTTTTTAAGTAAATAAACAATGCTTCAAATGACTCGGCCAGCTATCCACCCAGTAGTTAAGTCATACCTGAATTTACCTGAGGGCCACTAATACAATAGTGGCCTTAATGAGAACAAGAAGCTGGCGGCTTGTCAAAGGTCCCCTCATCTCCCCCCACCCCCCATTTGCCCTGATGATTTTTTCCAGCTGGATTTTAAAATTTAACAGTTTGGCATTTACAGCTTTGGTGGGTAGGCAGTTCCATGGGTTTATGTTCCTGTTGGTGAAAAACAATCTCCTGCTTTCAGTCCTGCATTGTGATTTGCTGAGCTTGAACCAGTGCTCCTTGTTTGTGTTACATCTGACCTTTTGAAGAAATTGTCTGAATTAACATCCTCTAAATCATTCGGTATTTTAAAGGTTTCAATGAGATCCATTCTGTCATGCCTGGCTTGTAATGTTGTTAGCCCTGAGGCCCTCAACCGTCCCTGATCCTGGTATACATTCCATAGTAGCAGCCGACTACCACCCAGGTGGCCAGATGGCAGCATCATGGGAGCCGCCATCTCACCATTGTCAAAAGACCTCATTCATGAGCCAAACAAAAGCCAGCTGATGCACCTGGTAGGGAATGGAGGATACAAGGAGCCATTGAGACCCTTCACATTCAATACTGTTTTTTTGGAGGGACCAAATGGTGGCTCCCTGTTGCTAGCTAAGCATACAGAAAAGAAAATGGGATGAACTAGAGGAGGAGAGCAAAGATAAAACTCCCAAAGGGGAAGAATCTAGAATGGGAAACTTTACCCAAGGCAACACAAGCCTGAAAAGGACTGGAAATACTGACCAGGTAACAAGCCATCAGGACCTTGTTAGACCTCCAAAACCCCAGAGCCTGGAAATCAGCCCAAAACATATTAGGGGACAAAGTTGCCAAAGCCACAAGCCCAAAATGTCATGGGCAGGAGAGTAGACTGCAGGCTGGCTAAAGTGTATGACCTGTGGATGGGCTGAGACAAGAGACATGGAACAAAGAACTAAAGACACCGGACTGAGAAACAATGTGACCCCCTGAAGTCGCTCGGATTGCATGCAAGCAACAATGGACAGCCACATTCAGAAAAAAAAATTATGAACCCTGGCTGAACGAACCAAGAAGCAATAATCAAAGGACCTTTCCGCAGTCTAACTGGCTCTTTTAGACCTTTTTGTACCTTTTCCCATGTACTGTACTCATTACTGCACGTTATTCCTTACAGTCATTGTATTCCTGAACTCATTATAATATTCTGTATTCTGAAATATACTGCCTTGGTGATATCTCTTTGATTGTCTGCACCAAAACACTGGTGCTATCTTATATGGAATATTATTCATGTCTCTTATCTCCTTTCAAGGCAAGCGATATTTCAGAGCTAGAAAATGTGCAGAGATCTTTCACTGCATGCATATGGCCAATGAAGCATTTAAATTACTGTAATGACTAAAAGTATTCAAACTGTACTCCTTGGAATGAAGACGAGAATCATATCTCCTAATATATACGTACAAGGAAGATACTGGAAGGTCAGGTTCCAAACCTGCACAATAAAATTACAACATACTGGAATGAGGGATATGGTAAGAAGTGCAAAATAATTCCAGTGAAAAGTTGGCATGGCATAATCACAAGGAGACTGCAGTGTAAACATTAGAGGATCATGATTCTTTAGTCTCCTGCCAACAAATATAAGAAATGTTGCTGGAAGAACAATGCAACCTGTTAAGAGAGAATTGGGTAAGTTTCTGTTAGTTACCAAATTTGCCTGATTGTCATGGCTGTGTGTGCCTTTGGACAACATAACCAAACAACCTCACAGACTAGGCAATCATAGGGAAAGGCTAGCCACAGTCCAAGCTGTAAGGGTAGTGAAACTCAAAATTGTCAACAGATATTATGATAACAAAACATATACAGGATAGTTAATAATATATTTATTATATTATTTACTAACTAAATATTGTTATTATTGACCATAATTATTATTATTGTTAACAATCATTATAATTTTATTATTATTAATTTTTTTTGAGAAAATCAGTAGATGCCTCAAGGAAGATTTAAACCTCACTTGGTACTCCCATGTGGTGTGGGTTTGTGGGGTAGTGGTCCAGAGCATTTGTTTGGGAGTACCAAGGGAGGGAAGGGTAGGGGGTTCAAATTCTCCTTATGGCTCCTACTGATTTTCTCATTGATGCATCATGTTAATGCAATTTCATTTTGCACTGTTGTTATTTTGCCTTCTTCCTAACTATTATTTTTTCAGGTCAACACGTATTGGATTATGGAACGCTCACTTGATTTAAAAGACGTTGTTCTGGTGTCTGTTGGAGGTGGTAGAAATGATGTGCAAGTGCCAACATCTCACACCATTACTCCTCTTGCTGATGTTGCCACTGTTACCTCTAATGTAAGTTTGTGTGTGTTTACTAGTTGTGTTTTTGCGGGGGTTGAGCTTTGCTCTTTCTGCCCGCCTCTCAACTGTCAATCAACTGTTTACTAACTACATTTTTTTTTTTTTTCCACACCACACACACACCCCCCAGGAAGCAGCCCGTGACAGCTGACTAACTCCCAGGTACCTATTTACTGCTAGGTAACAGGGGCACTTAGGGTGAAAGAAACTTTGCCCGTTTGTTTCTGCCTCGTGTGGGAATTGAACCCGCGCCACAGAATTACGAGTCCTGCGTGCTATCCACCAGGCTACGAGGCCCCATGTGTGTGTGTGTGTGAGAGAGAGGAGGGGGTGTTTGTTTAGCTTGAATGATCACCAAGCATCACTTTTATCAACGATACTCAAATGATCCCTCAGTTATGAACCTGTGCAACTAGGGCATCAACCAATAACATGCCCAGTACCATATCCACTCTGCCATCAATAACAATTAGTGTAGGAAACTTGTGAGACCTATGTGCATCCTACACTCCACTACTCTCATGGTTCATAGCATCACAAAAGTAAATGTTTACCTTAAATGGTCCCCAATCATCAGTTTTATCAACAATACGTTAATGATCCCTCAGGGTGTTGTGTGTGTGATGCTTAACACAATTCCAGAGACTTGGTTTCCAATATTTTGCTATTAAACATTTAATATTCCTTTCAGGTGCCCTCTTGTTGGTTGACTACTGACCACCAGGCCATTGTTTGGTGCAGACAGCTGGTGTTAGCAACAGTTCGAGCTTTGTTCGACTGTATTGATCAAAGCACTTTGAGTCTCACGACTGACAGGAAGCACATTGTTGATGTTTTTGAGTATCATCTCGCAAAGGTTTGTACGATTTCGTTTATCGTGGTCATAATGTGTTTTCTAGCCTTGTTTATTTTGTCAGTGTGCATATTTCTTTCACACTGACATTATTTCAAACCAAATAATGTAGTTGATGTCACTTCGTATGAAAAACTAATGAGAAGTGTGTGTGCAGCATAAATTTATTTTAGTTTGCAAGTACGTTCCAGCATTTGCCCGATTCATTACAAATTAACTTAATAGGGTTACTTGAATTTGTGTCAACTGATTAACATTTCTATTTCAATACACCACTCCTTTACAAGACTTTTTCATGGATATGAATCTCTATCCTACTTGCCTTATTTTGTATATTAAAAAGTCTAAGTTGTTATGCTCAAAATAAGATGAATAGGGTAGTGGAATTCATATCTGGCAGTGTTGGCAATAAGCCATCTATTGTTATTCTCTTATTTTTATTTATCTTGAATGTATGCATAGAAGGACAACAAAGTTAATCCCAGATAGAGAATTAGAAAGTTTAGTTTACACTGTCTAGAAAGATTACGAGTAAGGGAGACATGATTGAAATACTGTATACAAATGGATTAAAGAGGTTGATACAGGGAATATTAATAAATATTTAGTAATTAGACAGTGACAGTTACTTTGGCTCTGTACTCCAGTGCATTGGAGTTTAAATAAAATAATGCCTATAAGGTTAAAGGGCAGACTTTTACTTAATTTTAGAATATTTACATCTAAATCAGGTGAACCATGTTGGATTTAAAACCCCTTATATACAGAGTTCTCCATTGTCAAGGAGCAGAAGTCATTATACACACGGCTGCTCGGCTATATCTTGGTCATTTGTGTCATTCAATAGTTCATACACAGGAGAGATAACAAAAAGTACTAGAATTAGAGTGGCATTTGCATTTGGAGTCTGTTGCTGTTGTCCCTTAACATGGAAGGAAAGACTCATCAATGCCAGTAAAGCAGGCCATCATGAGGCTGGTAAATAAGAATATATTGATCAGAGACATTGCCAAAATATTAGGTGTGTCAAACTCAGCTGGTTTGGTGCAGTGTTAAGAAGCAAGAACTCGCCGATGAGCTCAGCAGTAGCAAATGACCTGGTAGAACATGAGATTACTGTTGTGGTTGACTAAAGGATACTTGCATTTGTGCAGACAAAAATCTTTTAAATTGTTAAGCAGATAAAGAACACACACTCAAAGATGTAGGCATAATATGTAGACGAGTTGCCATAAGGAGAAGATAACACTGGCATGACAGAGGGTTCACCACAAGATGGTTATCTGTACCAGTGTGATGGAAAGAGGAAAGTGTGAAGAAAGAAAGAAAAAGAAAGAAACTGTTCATGTTCCAAGTCATATTATCACATCTGTGGAACATGGCATTGGTATATCTGACAGGGATATGAGGAACCCCTGTACTATGGATAAGAAGGCCAAAATACTGTATTAGAGAAACATGATCATAGATGGGAAAGCAAGTGGCTGGCAGAGGACTGTGATATTGGTGTTAGTGCTGTTTCTGACAAAAAAAGATCAGAAGTGGGAAATCATATAGTCTGTGAGAAACATGAAGAGCCAGTGTGGAAAGAGAAGCGACATAAAAATATTGAAACCTTCTAAGCCTGAGAATTTGGGTGAGGTATTTAGAAGCTATTTACCAATGATCTGTGTATCATTGTTGGCTGGGGCTGATAGTTTTTGGTGCACAGTTACAGTTCGTAGTCGAAACCATGACATTAACCGTGGGCATTGAAGACTTCAAGGTCAGTTCAGGTTGACTATAGAGGTTTAACAGATGGTATGACAGTACTGCACTGTAACTGCATTATAACTGTTTTTCAAGACCAGCTTGTGTTACAAAAGTTACGTGAACATATTAATTTTTCATAATTTTTTATAATTCTTCTTTATATGCATAAAATTATTATATTTGGATATTCTGATATGTATTGTATATTTTGCTATAAGATAAATCAAGAAAATTAAGTGATAAATAATAACAAAAGGGAGTTTTTGTGGAAAATGTCATTCAGCTCCTTATATATATGCGAGCGAATATCTAACCTGAGTGAAGCCCTCCTCGTCTTTTTGATAATGGATTTTAAGGTCTGCATTATTAATATTGGTGAAGCAATGCACTATCATATCCAAAATGGAACTTTCATAGTAATCAACTTTGCTGTCTGCTCTCCTGATAAACTGGAGTGTATTTTTAAATGTTGTAATTTTGTTTGTATTACTATAATTTAATACATATTTATATATCCTGGTCTACTTTGTTTATTTGGTGTCAGATGTATTATTTGTCGAGCAATCAATTATCCTTGTATAAAACACGTACTTTAATTAATGCACTTTTTCAGAGAATCACTGGAAAACGCTACGTAAGTTCCTTTTACCCTACCCCTATTGAGTTGGACAAGGAGGGAGACTGGAATGAAATAGTGAAGCGCCAGCAAACTCACATAGCCCTGACAACACCACGCAAGACCTATCTCGTGATACCACTGAATCCTGGCCATCAGTTTTACCATGAAGCAACCATAGTTGCTACAAATTTGGACAATAAGCACTGGGTTGTAGCTTGTAATGTTGACCATGTGCACAAAGGTACACGGATGTGGTAAGTTTGAGCACAATTTATTGTTGGGATTTATTGCTGTAATGACTAGATTGCTGTGCAGAATGTATTGGGATTTTTGTCTCCTACTGCTATTATCATCAGATTTTTGTTGCTAAATCATGAATATGAATAATTTTCCTCAAATTTTTTTTCTAAAGAAACATGAGGTCACATTGCATGATGTATAGATTTACACACTTCATCTGTGTGCTGTCTGTCTACCTCCTGCTTTGAACATCATAACTAGTATTGTGTTCACTAATATCTGCACCTTGTACATAATTTTTATTGCAGTCGGGATCATCTATGACACTTAGCATTGCAAAATAGTTGCAGTTCATTATTTTATTTATCATTATTAAATGCTGGTGTGGTGCCACTTAATAATGAGGCTGTGCTGTGAGCTGCAGGTGCATGCACCAGCTTTGGTCACTCTGGCAGTACTGAGGGATGCATCTCACAGCCAGGAGGGATGCCAGGAGGGCATACTGCGAGTCCTGAGGAACAGGACGTGATATTTTGAATCGTACAATATTTGCACATTTTTCAGTACAGTTGTTTGAGCTTTAAGAAAAAAAGAGGGCATCAAAAGGGATGTTTACTGCGAGTATCCTGAGTGGGCATAACGAATTTAATCCGTTCCACAGGACGTGCCCCATGTAACCAGTGTGATGCTCCGTGTGTTCTCCCCGCAGGAATTTTGAATCGTACAATATACATTACTAATAAATGTGATATGCTGGTGTGCACATCCCCTTTTCCCTGTGTGTGCAGTACAGTTGTTAAACCAGACATTTTAGTACAGTAGTTTGCTAAAGAGCTTTAAGAAAAAAAGAGGATCTTTTTTAAGACAAAAAATAATACAGTGACAGTTGTCAATGTTTAATATCGGGGTAAAATACTCAAATAAATTAATATATAGTGCTCTGTATAATTTCATAGCGTATTAACATAACGTTTCCTGTTTCATCGTTCTGTGTGCTTGCAAATAACGCACTCGTGTGCACCCTTGGCTTTAGTACTTGTAGGTGGTATGTAGCCAAGCTTGTAAAGCATAAGGTAGTATTGAAACGATTATAGGAAAAGCTCAATTTGTAAGGTAGTCTTGAAAAGATCGCTTTGTAAGGTCCGACACAGGAAGAGATTCAGCTAGCCTCAAAGAGTGTCCATCAGTCAGGAAGAGATTCAGGTATTCTTGAAAATATCAATGAACAACACCACCATGGAAGCCACTAACACTGTTCATCTATGCTACTTGTATCAGATGCGTCATCATTGAACGCAGAAAACGATTCATCTATGTATCATCTATATAAATTGGAGATGGCAAGGGTGGGGCTCAGAGCTACAACTGGATACTCTCGCTGTATCATCCTCATAGGTGCTGCATCACTGGCATCCGACCGTTGTGTTACGCCCTTATTGCACCTAGCTTCACCAATGTTATGACCCTTATCTTTACAACACTATACAGAATTTATTGTCTTATAAAAAGGTTATTCGTATCACTGTACAACACTATACAGAATTTATTGTCTTATAAAAAGGTTATTCGATTCTTCACTATTCACTCGGCAGTAAATAGAGGATATAGTTGTGAAGCTAATAATAGATATTTTGGGGAAGACAATATGGCTAAGGCTTAACATAAACTTTGTGAAAGAGACAATCTATCCTCCCAAAATTGTAGAACTTGTAGCTAATGTAGATTGACTGTACAAAATGTGGGCTGTTGTATAAAACAAATGTTCATGTTTTGTATTGTAGGAACTCTAAAGATAACAAAAAGTTAGAGTAACCATCTAATCATCCCCTTGCCTAAATAAACAATCCTAGGCCTACCATATAATCTTAGGCCTAATTTAGCACATGCATGTATTTTACTATGCTTAAGAAAAGTTTGGGTTGGTTGTTGCCTTGTATCTTTGGCTTTCTACAAAATTAATAGTGCAAACCTATGGATTTTATCTTTTGTACTTCCATCCATGGTAGCTATAGATATGTACCATGATTTTTGGATGACTGGTTGATAGGAGAGTTCTTAGTCTGTAAACAAAAGACAGAAGATTCCTGCTGTACAGTCCAGTGTAAAAGGAAAAAGGAATCTCCCTAAATTTGGCTCATTCATACAGTAATTTTCAATTTTTTACTAAGGAGTACAATTATAAGTCAAAGATATGGGGCTGTACCCACCTAATTGTGCTTGCAGGGGTTGAGCTTTGGCTCTTTGGTCCCGCCTATGGGAGAGTCATTGAGTGTATTTAAAATATAATTCTATGGCTGGAGATCAAGACTGTGTATATGAAACTGAAAATTGACGGCTTTAAACTGGAAATGTTGATAATTGTTTATCAACAAAGTGGGTTGCCTTGATGCCCTCATTGCAGGACTGGGAATCAACTGTGAATTGATTGTTGTAAAATAATTGTTCAGCTAGTTAAGTGAGGCATTATTGTTTGGTATTACAATAATAATATTGCAAACATTTTAGTAGCATTTCAGTTGTTCATTCATTTCCAAGAATTACTGATGTTTATATATAGATATATGTTATCTATCCTTTACTTTATAATCTCTTTCCATAGCTTGACAGGAGAGAATCTATCGAGCAAAACAAAGAAGATGAAGGGCAAAATGAAGATGGTGGAGCTAGACTTGGGAAGCCTTAGTGAAGCTGGCCATACACACATCATTGTCAGCATTCCTCCCACTGATGAAAGAGTCAGTAAATTTATTTAATTTACTGAGTAGCCATTTTGAGAGTTATTTTGTAATTTACTGGCATTTTTGTCTTGTTTTGCATTGTTTAATTTACATTTAGGATTGCAAAGATCCACAAACTTATACATCTCCATTTCTACTTCAGGTGGAGGTTGCCATTGATGTGCACAGTAAAACAGGACGGCAGAGGGCCATCGATGTACCAGTCTTTTTCCGCTCTTTTATGCAAACGTTAATTGTGGACACAACTCCGCAAAAAGCACTGTCATATAACGTAACTCTCAAAGGTCTACAAGACATGTGGCAATCCTTTAAGTTAATTCTGCGACCTCGATCATCATGTGTAACTGAGAAGGTCCCTATGGCTAAAATATATTTGCCTTGGGCTCAGAAAGAGTTTTACCTGCATAGTAGGTAAGAGTTTTGACTTGTATAATGTATTATTCAGGCTCATAAAATTGGAATTGCAAAGATAATATATTTACCGAGTGTAGCAGGCAAAATAAATGGCAGGATAGTAACTGGAAAAGCCAAGGAAATTACTGAGATTGATCAGTGATTAACAAGGTGGGTTCCATGGTAGAAGAGGGTGTGTATATTGGATACTCGCATTGATGCAGCTTATAGAGAAGGCATGTGAGAAGGACTGTAAGGTGTACATGGCATTTGTATAGTTGGGGAAATGCTTATAATAAACGTAATAGTTTATCAGGCTGGACTATAAGTTAATAGTACAAAATCTGGATGTTTTTAGTTTTCAACTGTCCATATTTTGTACATTTTCAATACTGTTGGTATAGGTAGAGTACAGTATTGTACAATACAGTACAGTACTATCATTTGGGAAAGGCAATTTATTTGTATATATCTTACTGTATTGCATAGTATGGTACTATTATATAATAAGTACTGAAGTAGAACTTTTTCAAATCATGCTTGTCATACAGAGTCACAATAACATAGCTAAAGATTTTGCACCCAGCCCACACATCTGAAAGAAACGAAAGCGGTGACATTTCGTTGCATCTTAGACACATTGCGCAACTTAATAAGGGGTCCAGCACAGACTGAAACACTCACTTTCATTTCTTTTCAGATGTGTGGGTTGGGTGCCATATTTTAAGTGTTTTATATAAAATTGTTTTAAAATTAATTTGTTGTGGATTACTTATATCCAGTAATGTTTAAAGTTGTGTGACATGCTTCACATGATTTCATTTTAATTTTTCAGTGGTCCAGGTATATCTTATGTTGCTGAGCTCGACATCCCACGTCTTGATGATAATTCCTCTGCTAGCATTCAGGTTATTCTTAATCCTGAATGTACCTACTCCATACTGTAAGTTTAATAATCGTGTTTGTTGTAATTATGCTGGGATGTGGCAATCCTGTTATATAGGGGTAAGAGTGCATACCTATCATGTGAATTTGAGTGTGTGAACCCTCTGTTTCCTGGCTGTCAAGTACTCCTATACCCAATCTAGTGCCTTTCCAGTTAATTGTCACTCCATCATTTATATTAGTCTCTTGTGGGGGAAGTGTATCAAAAGTCTTTTGGAAGTCTAGGGATATGTAGTTTACCCAACCTTCCTTCTCTTGTTTTATTTGGGTGACCCTGTCATAGAATTCAGTCAAGTTTACTATGCATGATTATTCCTCTCTTAAGCTGTTTTGTGCCTCTGTTATAAAATTTACTCACTCGAAAGTTCTACAGTCCTTTTCCTGATGACTTTTTTCTAGAATCTCGCATTGAATGCATGTTAGTGACACTGGTCTATAGTTTAGTGCTTCATGTCTGTCCCCTTTCTTGAATATTGGAATTACATTTTCCTTTTTCCAGATTTCCAGTAGCTCTCCCATCTGTAAGTGTAATGTTGAACACTATAGTTAATGGGTAACACAAGGTAATCTACCATGGGTAATCTACCATGTACCTGGCAGGAAGCTGCCAGGTATATGGTAGATTACCAACTCTTTCTCTTGTCGGCTTCTTGATATGCTGCCACAGGATGTGTTTGTAGTGTCCACAAATCTTGCTCTCAGTGTTTTCATCTCCCCATGAGGATCCTTTGTTGACCAGTCTATTACCAGACTGTGGACTATTACCAGACTATTACCACACATGTCCACAGTCTGGTGGACTTTGGACACATCTGGTTAAATGTGTCTACAGTCATATTTAACCATGTGGTTAAACTCTGTGGACCCTCATCTCAATAAATTCCTCCCCACAAAAGACAAAATTAGTCTAGGATCTGAAGCCTGCAGCAACTCGGGGCAAGAAAACAAAAGCAGGTTTGTACAGCTGTGTGGGAAATTAAATATAATAAGTGAGAAATAACGCTGGTAATGGTGAAAGATTTTTAAGATTTATGTGAGATATTACTGAAAATGAGTGAAAATGAAGAATGGGTTGAAATTAATATTGTTAAAGAAGAAGGAAATGAAGTGAGGGAAGTAGGGAAGTGGTATTTTGGGCAATGATTGACTTCTTTTATCAAGGCTCACTGTCCACAAGAGTGAAATTCAAGATTGAAAAGGATATAGGTAGTAATTGCCACAATGAAAAATATATTTTGGAGTAGATTTGTTGTAGAGAATAAGTTTGGCATGATTCCAAAGAATCTTTTTTTTTTTTTTAAAAAGAACTGGGATGGATAGATTAGGGAAAAGCCATGAAAATGAGGTGGTGGGAATAAATAAGGTTCCCCAGAATCAATTGTATTGGCTGTAGAATGAAACACTTACTAAATGAAAGAAAGTTATATATTACAAATACGTATTTTAAGCATTGGGGTATACACAAGTATACATGGTACAGGGTGATTAATGAAAAAGTAGAAAATTAGTTTAATCAATCATGTGCTTATGGAGAGAACCATGTTAAAGTCTGTATGTGATTTGAAAATAACAAGAAGAATATTAGTTTTTTCTGATCCCATAATTGTTCTGTGCAAGATACGATTGCATGGCAAAAAGGTGATGGTACCTAAAAAATAATCAAAGAGGAGAAAGAATATAAGTTGCTTATCCTTTCTGGGGGGAGCCCCGGAGGCTCCCTGGAGCCTCCAGGACTCACCCAGAAAATGGCGTTTCATTACATTCAACGCTGGTTTTTTAAGTTTCATTTCTGTGTTTTTTCCTTGACTTGTATGTACTGTGCTGTGTTCAGTACATTCCTCGTTCTTCCTACATGGGCACATCTCCTGTGCCAGGTAAGTACGATGGGCTGCTTGGAACTTTTTGTTTTGAGTAGCTGAATCTAAACAACAACAATCTTTCTACACTTGAGTTTTCTAGTACTCTACAGTACAAGTAAATGGTGGCTACTTGACATTTCTGTAAAGCCAAACCATCATGGGTAACATGATTGATTGTGTGCTAGGAATTTTAATTAATAAAATTAAGCATTTTGAAAACTAATACATTAAAGTTGAATTGTTTAGTGATTCAGTTTTTATTTTATTTATTTATTTATTTATTTATTTATTTATATACAAGAAGGTACATTGGGTTTGTGAGAGTACATAGTATAGTATTTACAATCTTGTAAAGCCACTAGTACGCGCAGCGTTTCGGGCAGGTCCTTAATCTAACAGATAATTTTAAGTAGGTAAATTCTAGCAGAATTAATAAAATGATAAGATACATTGCAAGAAAAAATGAGATGAGCGAGATTAGTAAGTATATTAAAGCACATTGGTATATTAAAACTCTGATTGATTACGTTGACAGCTTGATTGGTAATTTAAACAAGATTAATAGGCATCATACAGCATATTGATAGCACATATAAGAAGACAGCAATGATCACAATGGTAAAGATGTTCGGATTGGGTACATAAAGATTGGGAGATTGGGTAGCAATAGATACAGTGCAATTTTAAAGCAACAAGGTAAAAAACTATGAAGATGAAATTAGGTACTTTTTAGTTTTGTTTTTGAATGACGCAAAAGTTGGACAGCTTTTCAATTCATTAGGGAGTGAGTTCCATAGACTGGGTCCCTTTATTTGCATAGAGTGTTTACACAGATTAAGTTTGACTCTGGGGATATCAAACTGTATTTATTTCTGGTGTGGTGATAATGGGTTCTATTACATCTGTCCAGGGAGAGTTTCAGAGCAGGATTTGCATTAAGAACAGGGTTTTGTAAATGTATAATGACACAAGAGAAGAATGTGGAGTGACTTAATGTTTAGCATGTTTAGGGATTTAAACAAGGGGGCTGAGTGTTGTCTGAAAGCAGAATTGGTTATTATTCTGATAGCAGATTTTTGCTGGGTGATGAGGACTTAAGGTGGTTTGCAGTGGTAGAGCCCCATGCACAGATACCATAATCAAGATATGGATAGATTAGTGCATAATTTTTTCTGGGGGGAGCCCCGTCGGCTCCCCGGAGCTATCCCAGGCTGATATGCTAATGTCAGACTTTGGCATCAGTCATGTGTATGGAGTTCTTAGGCCTACCGGGGACCACGGCCAGAACCGGGCCCCCTCAGAGAGGCAAGGGGAGCAATGGCCTATAGAAGCCCCCGTGTTAGTGGAAGCATTCTATGTCTGCCATCGACCGGAACAGGCACCCAGAAAGGTAAGCGCCCCAAAACAAACCCCTATTCTGGTTAAAATTGCTACCTAAAACCGAACTAGTGGATAGAACTCCCCAACCGAAAACAAGCAAACTAGTGTGACGTCACACACTGCCGCGCCGCTGTCTGCGCAGCTCCCCCCTCCCCGGGAGGGGGAAGGGGGAGCCCCAGACCCCCCGCGCCGGCTACCCACACCTCAGTTCTTGAGGCTGATGCTATAGGCGATGGTCGTGTGCTCTGGCTCCGGTGTCGCTACTGCACTGTGCTTTGCGTGTGGTGTTAGTTTTGTGGGTGCGAGAGCCAGGAGTTATCTTCAGTACTCGGGCTGCATGCGCCTAGGGCTGCCTTCCCTAGGTGCCCTGTAAGTACTGCCCTTGGGGCTTGGGGCCACCTTCCACAGGCTCCTCGGGGTCTGCCTCTGCTGGTCCGTTTTACCTTTCGGTTTTTCGGCCGCCTGTTGGGCTCTTGGGTGTTCTGTTCTCCCTTGTTACCGGCAGGTAAGAGGCAGTTTGCACTGGTAGGGGCGCAGGGTGCTGCTCAGCTTGTATTTCCCGACATCGCGGCCGGCTCTGTTCCTTGGGGTTCGCTGTCCTCTTGCGGGGTTTTGTTTTTCTTTTTGTTTTTGCCTGGTGGGGGGTTCTGTCATTTTATTCAGTTTGTTTTTGCCCTTCCACTGTTCTCATCGGTGGCGCCCCCTGCTAGGTCCCCGTGAGTGTACACGTCCCTGGGGTTCAGCTTTAGAAGTTTGCTTGGTAGTTTTGGGCGCCGGTTTGCAGCACCCTGCCTGGGACTACCTGAGCGCGAGTCCTCTTAAAGTAAACGCTCAGGACCCTGGGAATCCCCTAGGGGGCGCGTGGGTCCGATGGATGTGACCCCGGAGTCCCCACTCGCTGTGTGCGAGTTTGAGGGTTGCTCGGTCCCCTTGTCTCAGGGTGACCCTCATTGTTTTTGCCTCTGCCACGCTGCCTGTTGGGTCGGTGATACTTTCGACCCTGAGTCCTGTGAGTGTTGCTGCTTGCTTGTGACTCAATTTACCCAATCCTCTGATTCTATTCGGGTACAGGCGGCACGTGCGTTGCAGTCTAGGTTTCGTCTGTTGCAACGCGCTCGGTTGGTTGCTTCCCCGGATGCCCCGGGGCTGCCCCGCTTTGCTTTTCGAGACCCGGACTTGGGGGTGGGGGTCGCTTCGATCCTGGTTCAGTCCGCACCTCCTCGTCCTTCCCCTTCTGTTCGTTCTGGTCCCCCGCCCCTGCTTCCGGCCCCGAAGCGTCTGAGGGTTTCGGGGTCGGAGCAGGGGTTACTTGATCTCGAGACTCGGGCAGCTTCGGGGGTTGCCCCTTCCGGGGGGGCGGCAGAGGCATTCGAGTCTTGTCTCCCGGCCGAAGCTTCAGGGTCTGACCAGTGGGCCCCTCTTCCTCCAGCTTTTCCGGCTGCTCCGTCCTTGTCTTGTGGGGTCGGGGCTTGGGGAGAGGACTCGGCCTCGGGTCCTGTGGTGACGGACCTCGAGGCTGGGGAGGGGCTGACTTGGGGGCCTTGGGCCCCGCTGGACCCCGCCTGGGTTTTTCTTCCCACTGAGCGGGGCTTATTGTTACAAGGAGTGGGGTTTTCTTTCCCCCCCTCTGCGTACGAGTTGGATTTGGTGTCGGCCCCTCCCCGGGTACGGTTCCGTGTTCCCCCAGGTACGTCGGTTCCGTCCTTCCGGAGATTTTCGGCTTATCGCATCCAACCTGGTGTGGTGCGAGCGGCCTTTGCAGCTTACCTCCTGCGTGACCCGGATTATGCCTCGGAAATGGATCCGTCCACGTCAAGGTTGGGACTTCGTTCCCTTTCTGGCTCCGTTACGAGGTTCCGGAGTCGTCCTGGCTAGCAGACTGCCCCTTGTTTGGTCTGGATTCCTGGCATTCCTTCTGTCGTTCCCGCACGCTGGAGTGGCGGGAAGCTTCCACGGTGCTTCAGGTTTTCCTGGGGGGTGAACTTGAGTACCTGAATGAGTGCTTGTTTGCCCCTGCCCTTCCCCGCGATGTGGGCGTTATTCAGCTCCATGTGCAGGTTCCCTCCCTTTCGGCGGCGCTCGTGGCGGAGGACTTGCGCGCTCGGGGCCTTTTGTGTTCGGCCTTGCGGTTCTTTTCCCTCCTGGAGCTGTCTTCGGATTGGCTCGTGGAGGATGTGGGGACGCTTGGGTCCGTCCCGGGGTCCGGCACCTTGTCCTCGGCTGCGCGTTCGTCGGCTGCCTTGTTGAAGCTGTTCACGCCGATTTTGCGGGATGCGGTTTCCCTGTTCTATGCTTCCCGTCTCGCGTGTCGGCAGGCGGTGCTGGGTTCCTCCATGGGATCTGCTTGGGCTCTGGCTCTTAGGCGTTCTTCACCTTTTTGTCCTCTCCTGTTTGGGGAGTCGGCCGTGGCGCAGTTTATTCAGGCTGCGTCGGCGGCTTGTCGTCCGATGTCGGACTTGTTGGTTTTCCGGGGGTCCCGGGGTGGGTCTTCCCGGAAAGGTCGTGCCAGGGCTCGGGGTTCCTCTCGTCGTGGTAGGCCTCTGGTGTCAGGTTTGGGGTTGGCTCCTCCTGCGGACCCTCCCTCGTCTGGTCGGCGCGGTGTTCGCGCTGTGCGGGGTTCTGGGTCTCGTAGGGGTCGCCGGCCCTTTCGCGGTTTGCCCCTTTGACGGGGCGATGGGGGGGCGGCTTGCGCTGTTCGCCCGCGCCTGGTCCCACGATTCGTGGGCCTTTCGGGTCGTGTCTCGCGGCCTGCGGTGGCGTTGGGTGGCCCCTCCCCTCTTTGGGGGGTCGGGGCTGGCAGGGCAGGCTTCTTCCCCTGCGCTCTGTCGAGTCGTCTTGGAGTGGGTACGCTTGGGCGTCGTCGAAACGACGTCGTCCCTCAGATGGGTTTCCCGTCTGTTTCCGGTTCCGAAACGGGACTGCGCGGACCTGCGGTTCATTCTGGACTTGTCCCGTCTGAACCCCTGGGTTCATTGCCCCTCCTTTCGGATGACTACGCTGTCTCAGGTTCGGCTCCTCTTGGAGCCGGGAGCTTGGATGGTGTCCCTGGACCTCCGGGACGCTTATTGGCATGTCCCGATTCATCCGCGGTTCAGGGACTGGCTCGGTTTTGTAGTGGGGCGTCTGAGTTACCGCTTTCGTTGTCTCCCGTTCGGGTTGAACCTGGCACCTCGCGTGTTCACACGCCTTACACGGGTTGTGGTGGCTCGTTTGCGTCTCCTAGGTGTTCGAGTGTTGGCCTACCTCGACGACTGGCTGGTTTGGGCTCCCAGCCAGTCAGCTTGCTTGCTAGCCAGGGATTTGGTTCTTTCCCAGCTCGCCGGGTTCGGGTTCTTGGTGAACTGGAGGAAGTCCCATCTGGTTCCCTCTCAGGTTCGGACATGGCTGGGTCTCGTGTGGGACTCTCGAACCGCCTCCTTGTCTCTCCCTCCGGAGTCTCTCCTGCGGCTGCGGTCCCGCCTTCGTCTGTTTCTGGAGGGCCCTCGGGTCACCCGGCGGTTGCTCGAGGGGCTGTGCGGGAGCCTGAACTTCGCGATGGTGGTCTACCCGCCGGGTCGGGTTTGGCTTCGACGGCTGTTCTGGTTCCTTCGGGGTTCCCCCTTCCGCCTCTCTCGCGATCGCAGAGTTCGACCCCCGGGGGACTTGCGTCGGTTGCTGCGTCACCGGTTTCCTCTTCGGGTTTTTCGGGGTTCAGTGCCTTGGCGCCTACCCGAGCCCTCGCTCGATGTGTACACGGATGCGTCGTCTCGGCTGGGGTTTTGTGACCAGTGCTCACCAGGCCGGCCAGGGGCGTTGGGATCCGTCCTTCCGTCGAGCTCACAGTACGGTGCGGGAGTTCGCGGCAGTGTGGTTTGCTCTGGGGAGGATTCGGGTGGCCCGCGGATCGACGATTCGGCTCCATTCGGACTGCTCTCCGGTGGTTCATTGCCTGAACCGCGGGGGTTCGATGCGGTCCTTGTCTCTTTGGGGTTGGTCGCTTCGGGTGACTCGTCTGCTGAGTTCTCGGGGTTTGGCTCTCCTGGCGGTTCACGTACGGGGCGTGTCCAACGTCTTGGCCGACGCCCTGTCTCGCTTCGTTCCTCTCTCCACGGAGTGGACGGTCGACGACGAGTCCTTCCTTTGGCTTTGCCAGACGTTCGGGCGCCCCGAGGTGGACCTCTTCGCGTCGGCGTGGTCGCGGCGTCTTCCCGTTTATGCGGCGCCCTTCCCCGATTGCGAGGCCGTCGGGGTCGATGCCTTTCGGCTCGACTGGACGAGGTGGGGGTTCCTGTATCTCTTTCCCCCGGTTCGGCTGTTGCTCCAGGTCCTGACTCGCTTAGAGACTTACCGGGGGAGAGTTGTCCTTCTGGCCCCTTGGTGGCCGGCCCAGCCTTGGTTTCAGGCGCTGGTTGCTCGGTGTCCGAACCCGAGGGTTTTTCCCGCGGCTCCGCCTCTTTCAGCAGATCGGGCCGGTACGTCACGTAGCTGGTTCGATCTTCTCCTCGAGTCTTCGCGTATGGTTTTTTTGACTCGAGTCTATCATCATCTCTATGGTGATCAGGTGGCCTCCTTGTTGGTGTCCCACCTGAGGGCTTCTTCTCGGCGGCAGTATGCAGTTTTCCTGGCGGTCCTTCCGTTTCTTTTTGCGTCTTCGTCGTGTTAGCTCCTTGTCTGTTCGGGTGGTCTTGTCCTTCCTCTCGTGGTTGTTTCAGGACCGTCATCTTATGCCTAACACTGTCGCTTCGTATCGTGCGGCGCTGGCGGAGCCGCTTCAGCTTGCTTTCGGTATCGATGTTACGTCTGCGCCGTTTCGCAAGCTGTCTCGTGCATTGTTTCACCTCCGGCCTGCTCATGCGTCGCCTGAGCCGTCCTGGTCTTTGGACAGAGTGCTCGCTTTCCTTTCATCTCCTCGTTTCGTTGTGGCCCCTTCGGTCCAGGATTGTTTTTCCAAGGCACTTTTCTTGTTGGCTTTGGCCTCTGGGGGTCGGGTAGGGGAGCTTCATGCTCTCCTCCGGCGCAGGGGTTTCTGCTCTTTTGGTCGTGGTGATAGTTTTGTTCGTTTGCAGCCGTCTCCTTCTTTTCTGGCGAAGAATGAGACTGCTGCGTTCCGGAGGGGTCCATGGGTGGTTGATGCTTGGTTGGTCTGGCCGGGGGTGCATCATGTTTTGTGATCGGCGGTTGCAGCCAGTTGTCTCGGCTTCGAGTTGAGGGGTGAGCGACGACCGCCTCCCGGGTAAGTCCCTCTTTTTCTGTCTGTGGGTAGTTAGCTCCGGGGAGCCGACGGGGCTCCCCCCAGAAAACCAGCGTTGAATGTAATGAAACGCCATTTTCTGGGTGAGTCCCGGAGGCTCCCCGGCATCCCTCCCTCCCTCCGGTCGGCGGTTTTTCGCGTTTTTGACATCCAGCCTCAAGAACTGAGGTGTGGGTAGCCGGCGCGGGGGGTCTGGGGCTCCCCCTTCCCCCTCCCGGGGAGGGGGGAGCTGCGCAGACAGCGGCGCGGCAGTGTGTGACGTCACACTAGTTTGCTTGTTTTCGGTTGGGGAGTTCTATCCACTAGTTCGGTTTTAGGTAGCAATTTTAACCAGAATAGGGGTTTGTTTTGGGGCGCTTACCTTTCTGGGTGCCTGTTCCGGTCGATGGCAGACATAGAATGCTTCCACTAACACGGGGGCTTCTATAGGCCATTGCTCCCCTTGCCTCTCTGAGGGGGCCCGGTTCTGGCCGTGGTCCCCGGTAGGCCTAAGAACTCCATACACATGACTGATGCCAAAGTCTGACATTAGCATATCAGCCTGGGATAGCTCCGGGGAGCCTCCGGGACTCACCCAGAAAATGGCGTTTCATTACATTCAACGCTGGTTTTTTCCTAGGAAGCCAAAGCCATCAAAACATGTAGCTTCCAATTAAGTTCATTGGGGTACGGTATTTTGAACATAGAAGTACTGGAACTCAAAATTACAACAGGCAATCAATAGGTAACAGATCCACTGGGAGCCAAGTGGTAGACTAGCAAAGAAAGAGACTTGTAAGGCTCGAGTTTAAATAATAATAATTTGTTTTTAATAAATGAAATGAATAAAATGTGATAATTTATTTTTTCAGTATTCAAGGCAGCTTGGTTGGTGTGTTTCGGCGCTTAATGTGGCTGTACGGTTCCCAGATTCCAACGTACTGTGCTGTGCATCTTCTTCTCACCCTGGCTACGCAGCTGCGGGTGAGATTTGCACATTTCCTTGCTTTGCTATATATCTTTATACAGTATTCAGTACTGTATTATATTTATATTCAGGGCTTTATTTAATCCTTACACTGCTCCAATCATATGCAATTTTTTCCCCATTTGATTTGTTAACTATTTTTAGACATACAGAGCTTTATGTGGTACTTTAAACAGCTACACTGTTTACTGGTTAATGAGGCAATATTAGGGTAATTTATACTTAGGTTCTGAGAAACTGGTTAAAGTAGAATACTGCATGTGGTATTTTATAGACTTCTGTTCACTCACAAGTCGAGTAATTACTCCAGTTACTGTAGACCTATGTTAGTGCCTAAGAATCCAAAGAATGGCAAAATTTTATTGGGGCATTTCAGTATGAATAGAAGAGGAAAACTTTTAAAAAGTTGACACATTTAATTTAACCATTTACCTGCATATTTAAATGTCTGAAGGTTGAATAATTTTTAAAAAGGCATATTGAATATTCAAAGAGAGAGAACAGCTATTTTCCAGAAAAGGTCTGAATAGAATTTTATTGGCCCCATTGGGGGCCAATGAACATGGGGGTTGCACACAACCACTATCGGTCAGTGCTCACTAGCATCTAAAATATAATAAAGCAGGTTATTTGTTTAACCAGTTACTAATTGTTCCCATCACTTTTCATTCACACCCACACTCAATTCTTGGCCAAAGACACACACTCAAATTCTCATGGATGTAGTTCACTGCATTCAGACAGTAAACACATACTATGCATCAAAAAGTGAAGTAAATATTATGTAAGAGTTTCTGGTGACATTCATTGACTGTTAAATAGTGTACTATTTAAAATGTTTCTTGTTTTGTCAAATATCAGCTACACACAATAAAGCCTTTGCTCCCCCATTCTTCTCCCTAAACCACTCTCAACCCACTAAATTTCCTACTCATCTTCCAATATATCTTGAGGTTATCTTGAGATGATTTCGGGGCTTTTAGTGTCCCCGCGGCCCGGTCCTCGACCAGGCCTCCACCCCCAGGAAGCAGCCCGTGACAGCTGACTAACTCCCAGGTACCTATTTACTGCTAGGTAACAGGGGCATTCAGGGTGAAAGAAACTTTGCCCATTTGCTTCTGCCTCGTGCGGGAATCGAACCCGCGCCACAGAATTACGAATCCTGCGCGATATCCACCAGGCTATGAGGCCCCCTCAATGAGGCAATGAAAATATCTGTAGGTATCTATATCTGTATAGATATATCTATATCTGTAGGTAACATCATGTACTAGCAGTCTTCAACTTTCGTAATACAGGGTACTCTTCAGGAATGAAGTTTATACTCAGTATTTGCTGGCAACAATTATTGATGAATTAATATGAAAACTAACTCTTAATGCCCCTCTTAACCTATTTCTAAGTTTGCTGTACTGACTTCTAAAGAATTTGTCAATCAGTTCATATCCCCATCCATATTAGGCTTGACCTCTTTCTTTGCACTGTGTGTTGAACATTTCTTAATACTATTCAGTATTGCTTACTTTCCACCACACTAAACTTTAATAGGGTTCATGGTTAAGGATTCATAGTTTATTAAAGAATTGCTATTAGATATGGGCTACGGAAAAGAACACTTTTGCACAGCCTCTCTATACGTATCTTCCAAACCAGGACTTTTCATTATACAGTACCATCCACTTTCCTTCCTTGAATCACTCAACAATTAACGAACAGATTCCTGGTGGTCAGTCTCACACCTTAGGTATGGACACTGTTCAGTAATAACTAGCATGTCTCCTTTCACCCCTGATTTTTCATTTTGAACTTTTTTCATTACCATTAATATATTTTGTTTATATTTATGGAACCTCTTTTACATGCACATAAATACAATTTCAAAAATCATTATTATTTTTATTATTATTATTATTATTATTACAGAATGGTATTATTATTATTATTGTTGTGGTTTTATCCTTTTTATCCCTTGCATGGACTAGGATGGTAATAGCCCAGAGAATATAGAGTACCTAATACTAAACAAGCAAGTTTCTCAGTGCATATGGCTGCCACATTTTTTCACATGTGTGAAGAACAAATTTTCAGCAATTTCCGCTCCTAGTATGGTAATTGAAAGTACTGTACTGTATGTATTCGTGTTCAAAATTACATAATAAATACCTAATGACTGAAGGCATTAACACGCGATTTCAACCTTCATTTTCTCGAGACTGGTTTGTGGTTTGTATTGGAACAAAAAGTTGCCTGTGGAAATGATTCTTTGCCCCGTTATCTCTGGGTGCCTAATTTTCTTCAAGGCGTTGCCTGTTATGTTGTGCTTTCTAGCCAATGTGTGTGGCCCCTGGCTCCCAATAGGCAAGGTTGGGTCCGAGAGGCCTATTGCATCTTCCAGTTGTGACTGTGCCAGTGATCATCTGAAAAAGCTAGTGAGGGGCTGTACAGAAAAGAGCATTTCATTACAGTCACTGTTTGATTATTGTGCCCTAGGAATTGTGAATTTGCATTGTTAACAGTTTAGTACCTTGGTTCTTGGTGAACAGCTCAAAGTAAAGTAGTTTAACACTTTCGCGCTCTCGGCGCTCAAAAAAAATCAAGACCCTAGATGCTTTCGGCACTTCGCGCGCCTACGCGTAAGACCGAAAAAGTGTACACTCTTTTGACTGTCCTGACAATAATTGAAGGCGCAAGTATTTAAATTTGGTATCACTGTGTTCGCAATGAAATTGTCTATAAGAGCATACTGTACCTATAAAATGCTGCCCAAGCATAAGGAGTATCAACACCAAATAAAAAACTATGCAGATCACTCGCCGAGAGCGCCAAACAGCAACAAAATGTTTCCACTCTCTTAATGGTTGTGAAGCCTACAGTTGTCCTACATCGGTAATTTTGGTATCATTGGAATCGCAATAAAATTCTCTACACGGACATATGCATATGAATGTTTAACATAGGTAATTGCCCACCCGCAATAGTGTGTGAAGTGGAGAGTAGTTAGCCGCGAGCGCACTGGCGAAAACACAGGGGGGAAATCATGCTTGGAAAGTTTATACATTTATACGTTTCCTGACCCTACTTTTCTATGTACGTATTTCTTTTTTATACCAATGTGTTCGCAATAAAATTTTCTATAAGATGAAATGTATAACATTTGTACAAAGCATGTGTAAGAGAAGCGCCAAATATAGAACCACGTCGCTCAGTATGCGTTCGCGGCAGAAACGAACGCATTGTTTTTGTTCGTTTGATGTTTGTCATGTTTATACTTGTTGAAACATTTTATAATTTGTATGACAGTGATCGCAGTAAAATTCCCTACACAGACATATACATAACACATACAAATATTTCCCACGTGTTGGATATATCAACGGCTAAAGGGAACCCACTGCCACACGACCGCCACACCCAGAGCCACACCCGCCACACCCCCAAACATACTTTGTTTTTTTTTTTTTTACTCATAGAAGTTTATGTGATATAATATTCATTCTGGTACCAAAAAATTTGCAAATAAATTCTCTACAAAACGTATATAATATAACTTCTTATAGATGATAAAAAATTCAAAATAGGTGTACTTACCCTGTCTATGTTGATTGAAGATCAACAGTTGAACATTTTTTCTTCACTCCACCATCTTCAGGCTTCTGATCCTGAAGTTGCTCATCTGATGTTTCTTAGGTGGAGTGAAGCTGTTGCCGGTGGTTATTTTTTCTCCACCCAAAATATCTTTTTTCGGTGGTACCTTGTGTAGCAAGGCGCAGCGCACAGTGCCACATCACAAGTTTTACATCCATATATCACGTCCCTCCTTTTGCCAGACTTGTAACAAACACGGCATCTTTTTTTTTTAGCCAAGTGCACGAATTCATGCGTCAACTTGTAGTTGGGACGTTGTTCTGAATCTATAATTCTTGTATTTTTTGGATTCACTGGAAGAATATTGTCTTCTACAGGAACCACCAAACTTGTAGTAGAATCTTCTATGAAATCAGAAACATCAAGTGGTTCTATGTCCTCAATGTCCATTTCAGAATTTGTGGTTGATGAGTGGGCTTTAGGTGTTGAGGTGAACAGAGGACGCCTCGCACCAGATGGCCCGGGTGTTGAAACTGCCGCGTCAGCAGGAGGAGCTGCGCTGGCATCTATGTCGGGAACATGTGGTATACTTGTTGTTGTTGGCCATTCCTTGCTGTTCCACGCCAATAAGGCTTTTATTCCTACTGCGTGAAACTCTAATAGTGTTAGTTTTTTGTATCTGTTGAGTAGTGGTTATACAATGCGTATGCATTGTGCATGGCCATTTGCAGAAAATAGAAAGTGATCTTCTTGGTCCATTTGTGGGTTTTTCTTGCAAACTCATAATATTTGACCATTTGATCAAAATGATCAACACCTTTAATGAACTTATTGTAATCCACTATGGCCTTGGGTTTGTTCATTTTCACAATTTCTACTCCAGTTCTCCCGTCACCTTTACGAACGCGTTTCCTGCGCTGTGCTTGAGTAGTGTCGGCATTGTGGATATTGGTGATGACAGAGACGGGACGCTTGTCCTTCCAAACTATAACAAAGGTGTTATCCTTACGCATGTATACGGTCGTGTCGGTTGCCATTTTACCCTTTACAACTTGTTGCAGATCCTTGGGGGCGCCACATTGGAGTCTAAGTGTGCCACATGTGTAAACACCAACTTCACGTAATTGTTCTGTTAGGCTTACCGAGTTATAGTAGTTATCCATATACAAATGATAACCCTTGTTGACTAGGGGCGCCATCAACCCCATCACGGTTTCCACTGTCGTTTTTCCAATTCCACAATACACATCAAATTTATATATGTAGCCTGATTTCCCTTCGGCCAACATATAAAATTTTACACCATATTTATCAGGCTTGTTGGGATTGTAGACCTTGAAAGAGAGGCGGCCTCGCCAAGCCATTGTACCCTCATCGAGACTCAATTCTTTTTTGGGGATATATACAGATT